AAAAATATTTTAGCCATCTTAAAAGGTAAAGTGTTAAAATATAACAGCTGGAGTTTTTTTTTTGTTTTGTTTTGTTTTGTTTTTTTGTCGGTCGTGGGGCTTGAACTCTGGGCCTGGGCGCTGTCCCTCAGCTCTTCAGCTCAAGGTGAGTGCTCTACCACTTGAGCTACAGCGCCACTTCCGGTTTTCTGGTGGTTTATTGGAGATAGGAGTCTCACGGTCTCTCCTGCCCAGGCTGGCTTTGAACTGCGATCCTCAGATCTCAGCCTCCTGAGTAGCTAGGATTTACAGGCGTGAGCCACCAGCACCCGGCTGGAGTTTGTATTTAAACAAGAGAAAAAGACACTAATTTCACACATATGACAATGTAATAGTGAAATATGTAGGAGAATAGAGAACTCGTTTCCTATGTTCATTTTCTCTACCAAGAATTGTTTTCAAATTGGAAAGAATAGAGAAAGCAATATTAAGATGAAATTGAAGTGTAATATAGGTGAAGAGATAATTATAGAGCAGCTAGATATTTTAGATGAAGCTTTTAGATTATAGAAGTGGTATCTCATTATACTGAAAAATTAATTAGTAAATGTGGTTGTCACCTACTGTTAGTGAATATCTTGACAAATACAAGTGGTATCAAAGATTACCAGTCATCAATGACGAGTTTTTGATTTCTAGAATATGTAGTCTATCAAACTTGATGTCAGTATTCCGTCCCTAGCAAACATTTGGGATAGATTATTAATCATTATTATTAGCGAGCACATATGAGAAAGTAGTAGCGAGCACATATGAGAAAGTAGTAGCGAGCACATATGAGAAAGGGGCCTGAACTCTGAGCCTGGGCGCTGTCCCTCAGCTCTTCGCTCAAAGCTAGCACTCTTATCACTTGAGCCACACACAGTGCCACTTCCAGCTTTTTTCTTTTTGCTTTTGTGGTGCTCAGGAATCGAACCCAGGGCCTCAGGCATGCAAGGCAAGTTCTCTACCACTGAGCCACCTTCCCAGCCCTAGTGTTGTCTTCTTGATTTGCATTTCTTTTATGGCTAGAGAAGTTGAGCATTTCTTCATGTGTCTATTGGCCATTCTTATTTCCTCTTCAGAGAAGTTTCTCTTAAAGTCTGTAGCCCACTTATTTATTGGGCAGTTGTTTCTTTGAGGATTTGTTGTTGGGGGATTTAATTTTTTGAGTTCTAAGTATGTTTTAGATATGAGACCCTTGTCCGTTGTATAGCTATAGTGAATAACTTCTCTCAATCCGTGGGCTTTCTATTGATCTTGCTAGCTATGTCCTATGCCGTGCAGAAGCTCTGAAGTTTCATACAGTCCCATTTGTCCATCCTTTCTTTGATTTGTTGTGTTTCTGGGTCTTTATTAAGAAAATTTCGGCCTGTGCCAAGGAGCCATAGAGTTTCTCTTATTCCTTCCTGTAATGTTTTCAGGGTGTCTGCTTTGACTTTGAGGTCTTTGGAGTTGATTCTGGTGCAGGGTAATATATAAGGATCTAGCTTTAGTTTTCTACAAATGATTAACCAATTTTGCCAGCACCATTTACTAAAGAGGCTGTCTTCCTTCCATTCTATTTTTTAGCTCCCTTATTGAAGATTAGGTGGCTTTAGGTCTGTAGGTTCATTTCTGGGTCTTCAGTTCTATTCCACTGGTCCTCAGGTCTGTTTTTGTGCTAGACCAAGCTGTTTTGATTACTATGGCTTTCTTAATTTCGAAGAAATCAAAGTTAGCATGTAATATAAATACCTGCATTCCTATGTTTATCAAGACATTAGTCACATAGCAATATCATAGATTTGGCCTGGGTACCTGCCAACAGATGAGTGGATAAGAAAATGATCTGTGAATTGTGCCACCAAAAATAAAATCATGGCATTTGAAGAAAAATAGGACTGGACTCATCATGTTAGGGTGATATTAGGTGATGTAGAAGGAGAAATATGTGAGAAAGAGATTTGATAAGAGACGAAAATAGAAGTAGAACTATTGGGAAAGAAGAAAAGGATTAGGGAAAGGGATGAACAAAAGAGGAATATGACCAAATACATTATATACATGTATGAAAATATCACACAGAAACCCATTGTTTTGTACAAATAATATATGGTAATGAAAATAAATTACAGCAAAAGGAATATAAAACAGTTTACATGTTATATTCCAGGATTTTTACAAAGCAGTTTTAATGATCTTCTATGTAATCCTAAATAACCACTAAACTTATTTTTGTGAGATATGTAAAGTCCTGCTTCCTGTTTCTTAGGCACTTGAGACATCTGTTTTACATGAAGATTGACTTGTGGCAGCTGGGAAAATGTTAATAGTTTTCGAACATTTTGATATTGTAGCTTTTTAAATTTTTTACTCATAAAGACTATTAAGAAAATGGAGCTATGGTTCAAGTGATAGAGCAAAAAAGTTAAGGGACAGCACTCAGGTTCTGAGTTCAAGCCCCAGGACAGACACACACACGCGCACACACACATACACGCACATGCACTCGCACGCACATACAGTTAACAGTGTGAGTCAGGCAACACGAGCACACAATTAACAATATGAGCCAGGCACCAGTGGCTCACACCTGTAATCCTAGCTACTCAGAAGGTAGATATATGAAGATTGCAGTTCACTGCCAGCCCGGGCAGAAAAGTCCATGAAACTCATCTCCAGATAAGACTCCTATCTCCAGAAGCAAGTGGAGCTGTGGCTCAGAGATAGAGTGCCAGCGTTGAGCAAAAAAGAGAGGGAGACGGAAGGAGGGAGAGAGAGAGTGTGTAAGGTAGAGGAGAGAAACAGAGTGGGAGAGAGAAGAGGGGAAAGAAAAGGTTAGGGACAGTGCCCAGGCCCTGAAGAACAACACACACACACAAACATACACGCGCACCCACGCACTCACGCTCTCTCTCTCTCTCTCTTTCTCTCTCTCTCTCAAGAATCCCAAAGAGTTTATGTGTTATACTTGTTGATATTTAACCTATTAGAAATTAAAACAAATATTTAAACTCAAGAATACATACACACCATATTGCAGTAGCTGTCAGGAATGACATGATAATTTTTAGTTTCTGTGAAACTCTACTGTGCTCTAATGAGAGAAAAAGTACAAGAGGCAGATAAATTCTTAATGGTATGATGAAAGGGTTTTGAGTTTGCTGTCCCACCGAGTACCCTTAGAGGCCAGGCAATATAATTCTGTAGTCCAGATACCAAATTTCAGCCTGAGCATTACTGTAAGGGTATTGACAGATTGATACTCCAGAGGGGAACTAATTTACATAGAGCATCATATTTGCCACCATTGAAAGATGTTTCAAACATTAGTTAAGCTTATTAATAAATCCACTAGTGCATGTTAAAATAATTTATTAGCTAGTCCCTTGCAGTTGATGCCTCTGTAGGGTACGCTCCTAATTAAGGTCTTTCACAAGCCACTTCTGGGGTGTGTTTAGGGGAGAAGTTTATTTCTAATTGGGATCCTTAAAAATATTAGCTCCAGCCGAGTAACAGTGGCTCATGTCTGTAATCCTAGATACTCAAGAGGCTGAGATCTGAGGATTGCTATTGAAGCCAGCCCAGGCAGAAAAGTCTGTGAGACTATTGTCTCCAGTATACCACAAAAATGCCAGAAATGGAGCTGTGGCTTTAGTGGTAGAGTGTTCACCTTGAGCAAAAGAGCTCAGGGACAGCACCCAGGCCCTGAGTTCAATCCCAAGACAGGCATGAAAAAAAAAGTTAGCTGCATGGATGTGGATCAGACCTAAAGCAAATAGCGGTTTCACACGGTATGTGCCTGCAATAGCTGCTGCTGCTGCTTTTTTTTTTTTTTTTTTTTGGGTTGGTCATGGGTCTTGAACTCTGAGCCTGGGTGCTATCCCTCAGCTCTTCAGCTCAAGGCAAGCACTCTACCACTTGAACCACAGTGCCACTTCCAGTTTTCTGGTGGTTTGTTGGAGATACGAATCTCATTGACTTTCCTACCCAGGCTGGCTTTGAACCGTGATCCTCTTTGTTGTTGTTGTTGTTGTTGTTGTTTTAATTTAATTTTAATTTTTATTATGGAGGTGATGTGCAGAGGGGTTACAGTTATATAAGTCAGGTAATGTGTATATTTCTTTTTGGACTATGTCACCCCTTCCCTTAGTCTGGCATTTTAAAGTAATAGATATACTGGGAGAATTGATAAGATGCATATTTGAGGCAGAGATAGATAGATGTTCATCTGTACCCCTGACAACAAGATTTTCACTGGCACATTTTACAAGAATAATGAATAGCTATACAAGGAATAAGCTAAATGAATCCTTACTAATTATTTCTTCTAGGGCTGTCTGGTATGATATCTTAGATTGTGAACATGAGAGAAATGTAGTCGGAAAGCAACATAATTTTATCTGGTTATTTGGAGAACATTGTTAATTCTAGATATGAGGGTAATGTTTGATAGCAAGATGATAGCACTTTAAGTGGTATTGCTGTTTTCTTTGGCAAATCTGAGATAAACAGAGGGACAGAATCTTTTTTTTTGGGGGGGGGTCCGGTCGTGGGGCCTGAACTCTGGGCCTGGGCACTACCCTCAGCTCTTCAGCTCAAGGCTAGCGCTCCACTACTTGAGCCACAGCGCCATTTCCGGCTTTTTCCTTATGTGGTGCTGAGGAATCGAACCCAGGGCCTTGACTATGCAAGGCAAGCGCTCTACCACTGAACCACCTTCCCAGCCCATCTTTTTAGGTAAAAAAAATCTATTTGGATATGTCTGATGACAGATTTATATCTACAAAGGATGTATTTTAAATATTAAAATTTTAGTTCAATTATAGCAGCACACTAGATAAAGTCATTAATTCATAGAGACTAATTAGTGTGTTAAACAATAGCACTGCATTTATGTGGTTCTCAAGATTATAGCACACAACTAACCTTAAGATAACTACCTCAAACAGGCAGTTTTAATTGTGAAGATATGATACATGCCTATTTTCTTTTTATAGGCGAGATAAACTTTGGATTTGCATGGAGTTTTGTGGAGGAGGTTCTTTGCAGGATATTTATCATGGTAAGTCAAAGTTACATTTTTCTACAGATTAAATAGAATTTCTTAAAATATAATCATTTTGCTACATTCTAACATTGTTTTAAGGAAAGAAAACTATGTTTTATCAGTAAGTTTAAATACATAAAAGTATTTAGAATATGTATGGGTGCATAGACTGTTGGCTTTATAAGTAGAATAGTTATGTGCTAATTCTGTGCTAATTTGCTAATTCTGAACAAGGCACATTATAATTTCTTCAAAATGTCAAATTCAGACCTTGTAGAAGTGTAAAAGCTTTGAGGCAGATTTTTCAAATTGATTTTGCTCTCATATATCCAAGTAACATGAATTAAGTGTTTATTCTCTTATTGCTAAGATCTGGGGAACTCAAAACCAATTAAAATATTTTTGTAGGAATTCAGTGACATAAGGAAGATTTATAAAGTGAAGTCAGTGTTTACTGTCTTTTTTCCCCTGGTTCTTCAATTTTCACGGGCTACAGAGTAAGCTTATCCTTTTTCTTTTTGTTGCATACTTTTTTTTTTATTGTAAAATAAGAATGTCTTAGTAGTTTAAGAAGTCAGGCGGATGTAGTGGCTCATGTCTATACTCTTAGCTACTTGGCAAAGTGGAGATCAGGAGGACCAATTTGAGGCCAGCCCATGCAAGAAGTTCCTCAGACTCCATGTCAGCCAATAAAAAGCTAGGCATGGTGATAAACACCTGTCATCCCAGCTATGCAGAAAGTCAAATTGGGGGATTGTGATCCAAGACAGCTGAAGCACTAACAAGACCCTACCACAGAAATAAAGCAAGAAGGGCTGAAGACATGACTCAAGTGCCTGAGTGCCTATCAAACATGACTTCACAATTTAAAAAGTAAATAATATTTTATGAAGTCAGTTTTTAGCTGGGTATGGTATGTAGGTATGGTAATTCACCTGTGAGCCTAGCACTCAGGAAACTGAAGCAAGAAGTTCTCAAATTCAGGAATGCCTAGGTTGCATAGAAAGACACTCTCTCCAAGAAAGGGGGTAAAAGGTCAGTTTTCTAAGTTATTTTGCAAATTTGTTCTCATTTTTGTCATATTGAGGTTGTTTATTGCCCAGCATGAGTCCTTTGTAATAAAGTAGATGGTGAGAGTTTGGATAGAATTTTGCTGTTTTAACAATGACATAACCAGCCAGGAGCTACTCTTCAGGAAGCTGAGATCTGAGGATCGAGCCAGCCCAGACATGAAAGTCTTGTGAGACTCTTATCTACAACTAACCATGAAGAAGCTGGAAGTAGAACTGTAACTCAAGTGGTAGAATGCTAGCCTTGAGCAGAAATGCTCAGGAAGAGCAACCAGGCCCTGAGTTCAAGCCCCAGTACCAGGAAAACAAAAAACAAAAAAACTTTGACCTAATCATAGGGTTATAATATTTCTATAAAGTTAAAAAAATCATTCTCCAGTTCTTGGATTAATTTCTCTACTATTGTTTCCCTTCTCTTCACTGACAATTTTTTTCCTAAGGAAATTTTTGTGCCAGTCCTAGGGCTTCGTTTACAAAGCTATTAAATGTGGCTAACTGTGACCAAAGAATTCCACCATTAGAATTTAATTTTGTTTCTAGCCAGGCACCAGTAGGACTAACCTGTAATCCTAGCTACTTAAAAGCTGAGATCTGAGGATCATGGTTTGAAGCCAGCCTGTGCAAGAATGTCTGAGATTCTTATCTCTAATAAACTACTCAAAAAAGCCTGAAGTGGAATTATGGCCCAGGTGGTAGAGTGCCTCAAAGCCAACACACACACACAACCTTTGCATAAAATCATAGAGTAATATTTTGAATAATGAAGAGACCTTTACTCTCCAACTTTTTAAGTGAAATTTATATAACTGGAAAACTAAATACTTTTAGGGGAAAAATACTGATTTAAAAGTAGCTATAATATTACACATTAATTTAAAAAAGGTTTGATAAAACCCTAACCTTTGGGGCATTCTTTAACATTTAAGGGATGATGTTGAATCAGTGAAATACTAAAATGAAAATATAATTGATGTCAATGATATTTTGGTCTTTTATTGGTTTTGTAAAAATTGGGCAGCTTTGTGGCAATCACTGTTGTAAACCATGAAGAGAACAGCAGTGAACCAATCTGACTAAAACATTGAAAATAAAAGGGAGTTCACACTTGGGGAGCTTACATTTTCATATAATTGTTCCTGTATATTGTCTATTGTAAACTTTATCACTTACTTAAAAATGTGTATTGATTAATCTTATTTACACTAATTTTATTTTACAGTAACTGGACCACTCTCAGAACTGCAAATTGCTTACGTTAGCAGAGAAACATTGCAGGTAAGTCAAATGCTAATTAAAAAGAATATTACCTCTTAAAAAAAGGACATACTGCTCTTGAAGACTTTCAGTACATTTTTGCTTATATGATGAAAATTATATTTATTTTTTTTCATAAATATGATATAATCTAAAATTCAAGCATTATAGTTGTACATATTTCCCCTAATTTAAAAAAAGGTTTGAAAATTAAGCACTGTGGTGAGAATTGAAATCCATCATGGTACTGGATGGATAACTGGCTAGATAAATACCTTTTTTGGGGGGAGGGCGATGAGGGCAGGGGTCCTAGGGTTTAAACTCAAGGCCTGGTGCTATCCTGGAGCTTGAGCACAGCTCTACTTATGGTTTTTTTGATGGTTAATTGGAGATAAGAATCTCAGGAACTTAACTGCCCAGGCTGGCTTCAAACCACTATCCTCAGATCTCAGCTTTCTGAGAAGCTAGGATTATAAGCATGAACCACCAGTGCCCAACTGAATATACATCTTTTAAAAGTTATTTACAGGCACACACAAAAAGTATTTACAACTATTTCTAGAGTTTATTGAAAATTGTCTTAAAAAAATTAATGGTTCCAACTGAATTTTAAGCTGGGCACTGGTGGCTCACACCTGTATTCCAAGCTATTCAGTAGGCTGACATCTAAGGATCACTCACAATTCAAGGCCAGCTGGGGCATTAAAGTCTGTGGGACTCTACTTCTAGTTAACCAGCAAAAACCCAGAAGTGGAGTCATGTCTCAAGTGCTAACCTTAAAACAAAAAAGCCAAGCAAGGGGCTGGGAAGGTGGCTCAGTGGTAGAGTGCTTGCCTTGCATGCATGAGGCCCTGGGTTTGATTCCTCAGCATCCCATAAGCAAAAAGAAAAAAGCCGGAAGTGGTGCTGTGGCTCAAGTGGTAGAGGGCTAGCCTTGAGCTGAAGAGCTGAAGGACAGTGCCTAGGCCCAGAGTTCAGGCCTCGGGACCAGACCCAAAAAAAAAAAAAAGCCAAGCAAGAGCCTGAGGCCCTGAGTTTAAGCACCAGTCCTGGTACAAAACAAAACAAACAAACAAACAAAAAAAAAACAGAAAAATGCTATCTGAACTTTAATTTTTCTCCTAGTGTTTTTTTTATTTTTCCTTTGGGGGAAGAGACTTAGAGATTGGACCAAGGGCCTTGTGCTTGCTCTGGGCAAGTACTTTAGGATTAGAGCTGTACCACCAGCTCCTCACTTTCAAGATTCTGTTATCTTCTAGGCTATTTTATTTAAATATTATTATTTCTAGACTTTCTGTAGAGAAAAAATAAAATATAAACTATTCCATTCCTAAATTATGTTCTATGATAAAAATCTTATTTTTCTGTTGTCTTTAATCTCTAGGGATTATATTACCTGCACAGTAAAGGAAAAATGCACAGAGATATAAAGGTATACATTATATTTCTAACCTAATAACCCACCCTTCATTTTTAAATAAGAAGATTATTCAACAGACCTGTTTTGAATATTCTACTTCATAAATTTGTTGTCAGATGTATAGCATCTTACCCAGAGTTCAGGCCCCATGATTTGGGTGGGGGGGAGTATATATATATATATATATATATATATAGTCAGTGGATTCATGTTATAGTCACTAGCAGATACAGGTTAGGCCCATAGCTTCCTTCCAGTAGCTAAGCTTCAGATAGTAAGCTTTGTCAGTCTTAAGTTATTTGACCTTGAGCTGGGAAGGTGGCTCAGCGGTAGAGTGCTTGCCTAGCATGCAAGAGGCCCTGGGTTTGATTCCTCAGTACCAAATAAAAGAAAAGGCTGGAAGTGGCACTGTGGCTCAAGTGGTAGAGTGCTAGCCTTGAGCCGAAGAGCTTAGGGACAGCACCCAAGCCTAGAGTTCAAGCCCCATGACTGACAAAAAAAAAAAAACCTTTGACATTTTCTTATGGTCTTTGAACTGATAGAAGAGAGCAAGTGCCCTGATCATGCTGGAGCTAGCACAGTGCATGCTTCTAGAGGTGCTGCCATCGCTCCGATCTAGATTCTCTTCATTTCATTTTTTAATGCCTGTTAATCCTTCTCCTTTTGTTTCTCAAGCTTTCTTTAGTATGACATTTCTTAGCCATTTTTGGAATTAGGACAAATCATGTCACTCTTTTGAGTATCTGAAGAATGTCATAGACTTTCTTCTCAGAAAATTCCCTTATTTACTCATGCTCTCAAGTTCTTGAAATTTCAGTGGACTCAGATTTTATTATATTTAATAAACTAAGAAAGCTCTATGTTATTGCTGCTGAGGTAATTTGGAAGAACTGACATTTGTCAGAAGTGAAGTTTGGCATGCATTTTAAGTAGTATTGGCATGCATTCCAATTAGTAATGGCATGTGTTTCAAGTTCATATTGGTTTTAGAGCAATATGCATAAAATACAAATACATATATAGAGATTAGAATAAAAGCAAGTATGTAAAGATTCAAAAGTATAAGACTATTTTAGAGAATGTAAAATCTGTATTGGAAGAAAGAAGAAGAAGAGGAAAGTATGAAATTAATAAGTGATGAGATTGTCTAGGCAGTTTGGTCTTCTTTTGTCAGAGTTTGAGTAAGTTCCAACCAGCTGTCTCTACTCGGCCTCCACCACCATTCCTCTATGGGCTTCTGGACTTCTCCTGGACTTGTGTAGTAGCCATCAAAACTCTCACTTTTAAAGTTAGGTGTTGTCACTTTCCTGCCATCTCACCATGTCCTCATTTTGGAGTCCAGATGCTTTCACAGTGCCCTCTAATGATCTGGCCCTTCATTTCTCTGACCTCATCTTACACTGCAGTCTACTCAGTTTTACTCATTCTGGCCTTGAGTCCTTGTGTTTGCAGTTCATTCTTCCTGGAATGTTCTTGTAGATAAGTTAAAAGCCCTGCTGTAGTCTCCTATCTCTTCTTTTTCTCCCTTTACTCATTGTTCTGTAGAGCTGCAGAGTATCAGGGGTGTAATCAGCTTCACTGACTTGGAGGCAGGAAATCTCTTCTTCATCTCCCCTCTCCCTTCATCTTCTATTGTTTCTTCTTACTGTTGATTAGAGATATGTGGGACAAATTTTCTCCCTAAGCCTATACTTTATTATTAACAGCACCTTAGATTAAAGAACCTACCTACTTTGACTTAGCTCATTTAAAGGTACAGAAAAGGAGGAGAGAAAATCCTGTAATACCATTAGTTTAAGATGGAATAGTCATTACTATCTTTGAACTCAGGTCAAGAAGCAAAAGTGGTTAAAATGCTACCAAGTCATGTAAATGAGTGACATTTTAATACTGTATGCCTTTGGCTAGTTGAATTATCCTAAACTCATTAGGATAGATACCTTCCATAATTATGCAAGCACAGGTTCAGTGATTGTGAATTCCTAGCAAGAGAGGGTTTCTTGGGTTTTTTATTTTGTTCTTATTTAAACAGGAAATAGCAACCAAGTTTAAAGTGTAATTTAAGCCACTGAAAATAGCATGGTAAAGTAGCATCTTAGTGTTGTGATGATGTATAGGCATTGAGGAAGTATAAGATGAAAAGTGAATATGTCACTTTATGTTAGCATTTATCTATGTTAATAGCAGCTTTTCTAAAGACAGAATGTTATATAAGAATAGTCAAGTTGGCTGAAAGTATGGACATTAAGTTTCCTTTGAATATAGTAATTAGACATTTCAATTGCACACTTTATTTTCAAGTATTTCTATGTCTAAGGCTGGGATTATTTTAAATAAATATGTTTGATATTATATGTCCTATCTAGTATAATGTCTTTCTGTTTAACTAAAATATTCTCACTTTGAAGGGAGCTAACATTCTATTAACGGATAATGGCCATGTAAAATTGGGTAAGTAAATTTGAATTCTACCGCATGCACCAATGTAATTCTTAAACATAGTTTATACTTATTGTTTGGGGCCTTTTGTTTTGCTTTATAGGAGTAGATTTGCACTCCAAAGATAGTATTGATGGGTTTTTAGATGGGATTCTCAAGGTCTAATATATTTTGCCTCTCTGCCTGATTCCTCTTAAGCAGTAATAAAATCTGTCCTTCATATGAGACAGATTTATTGCAAAAATACTGTGACATAATATCATTTGGGAACTCTTTCATTTTTAATTTCAAGAATGGGACTTCTAGTTAGAGATATGTACAAGTTGATGACAAAAAACACAGAAATTTTAAAAACCAGTGCCTCAAATTTATTAAATCTTACATTGTTTACTTCAGCTTTAAAAACAAACACAAAGCTAGGTGCCAATGGCTCACACCTGTAGTCCTAGCTACTAGGAGGCTGAGATCTGAGGATCACCGTTCAAAGCCAGCCCAGGCAGGAAAGTCTGTGACACTTTTACCTCCAATAAACCACCAGAAAACTGGAACTGGCTCTGTGGCTCAAGCGGTAAAGTGCCTGCCTTGAGCTAAACAGCACAGGGACAGCGCCCAAGCCCAGAGTTCAACCCCCATGATTTACCAAAAGTAGAAAATAAAATTTTTAAAAAAACACAATATTATAAAAGAATGTAATTTAAATGCTGAATGTTGCTTTATTTTAAACAATAACTTTATTTCATTTTATTACTTTTTGGTTCAAGTTAGGAATTAAAGTTCTAAATTATGACTTAATTTGAAAGCTTAAAACAGGAAAAATGTTCAGTATAGTGACTTTATGTGTTTATATTATTATTTGTGTTTGTGTGTGTGTGTGTATGTGTGTGTGTGTGTGTGCGTGTGTGCGCGTGTGCGCACGGGTACTGGTGCTAGGGCTTGAACACAAGGCCTAGCATTCTCACTAGGCTTTTTCCCCTCAAGGCTGGTGCTCTACTTGAGCCATACCTCTAGTCAGCATTTTGCTGGGTATTTGGAGCTAAGAGTCTTGCAGATTTGTCTGCTTGTATTGGCTCTAAGCTTCAGTTCTTGGATCTCAGCCTCCTGAGTAGCTAGGATTATGGCCAGTCCTGACTCAATATAGTAATTTTATCATATAGGTATTAAAGGGTAACAAATATGTGAGTTAGGACAAATATGAACTATATCATACTGAATTTCATAAGTCAAAATACACTATTTGTAGTTTTATAAAGCTATCAATAGGTCTGGAGATGTTGGCTCAGTAGTTAGAACCCTTGATTAGCATGTTCACAACCCTGAATTCAATCCCCTGCTCCACCAAAATTAAAATAAAACTAAAACTATAAAGTGAATCTGATTAAAAATCTTTTACATGTTATATAGCATAATTAACATATAATAGAGTCTTTGTAAGTGACTTGTAAAATGAGAAAAATAGAGAAGATAAGTTCTGTTCATTTAATCTAATTTTTGATGACTTAATGAACAGTTTATATCAGCCAGATCTGAGGATTGAGTTTCAGAGCCAGCCAGGGTAAAAAGGTCTATGAGACTCTTTGTCTCCAATAAACTACTCAGCAAAAGCCAGAAGTGGCACTGTGGTTCAAGTGATAGAGCACTAGCCTTAAGCAAAAAAGGGTACAGTGCCTAGGTATTGAGTTCAAGCCCCAAGGCTTACACCAAAATAAATAAATAAAATAAAAATTAGAAATATTACTCTGCCTTTCTCAAGGGAGATTTGGGAATAGGGAAGTACATATTGGTACATATGGGAAGTACATACTGCATGGATGGTTGTAAACATATGACCTGAAATTAAATGAACCTTAAGATAAATGAAAAAAATTACTGATATTTACCCTTTGTTATTTGGTTCATATGGGACTCTATTTGGCTGTAATATACACTGACTGCTTTGTAGTATTTTAACACTAGTCCATCAAAGTTAAAATTTTAATGTAGTGTTGGAAAATATCTCTTATCTGTAAAAATTAACTTACAGTTTTTCATTTTCAATAAACAGTTTTATTTTCTCTCATTTTATATTTCTAAATGTTTTACTTTTTTTAAAAAAAAATATAGCTGATTTTGGAGTATCTGCACAGATAACAGCTACAATTGCCAAGCGGAAGTCTTTCATTGGTACACCATATTGGTAATTATATTTTAATTGATTTTTAATCTTTTTGTTCTATTATTATTGCATATAGTATTTCTAAAGCTATAAACTAAAAAGGTTATCAACAAGTAATTTAGGTATATATACTTGTGTATAGAATTACTTGACGAAAAAATACCCTGTCATAATTTTTTATCAGACAGAAAAACCCCTAGAGATTGAAGGTGTTTTCAGGAGCCTTCTAGTTTTGCTGGGAAATCCCTACTTACATATATTTTCCAAGATGTTTTTATGTGTATCTTTCTCCACTTCTATATGCTAACATTACTCTATTCACAGTATCCCTTTGCTCAAAACATTTTGTAAGATTGACTACAATCCAAGCTTAAATAGGGATTTCTTGGCATTTGAAGTGATCTGTAGTGAGGCCTCTGTCCACTTAAGCTTGTTTCTAGTAGTCATCCACAGACCTTTCTTTCTTGCTGAGTAATTTGTCTTCTAGGGAATCTTTGACCATCAAATAAACGCTCTTCTGTTCATTTGTTTGTTTACTCAGTTATTCTTGTTCTTATTTTTCTTTTTGCTTACTGTGTACCAGTTAAAATACTAAGCACTGTGACTAGTGGTGGACAGGTTCACAACTGTTTCAGTTCATTCCATTAAGTAGATTTATGAATAGTAGGTGAAGATTTTAGCTCTCATCCATCTTCCAGTCATCTTATTACAGTGTACTTGCTGATTCAGTTAATACATACACATGTATTGTCATTATCAATAATATCAATATATTAATATTAGTTAATTGATATATTAATAATATATACTCAATATATTCTCTTGAATTATTTTCCTCATTTAATACTTTTTAATTTGCTTAGTTTCTTTTTTTTGGTCAGTCTTGGGCTTTAACTCTGGGCCTGAGCATTGTCCCTCAAGGCTAACGGTCTACCGTTTGAGCCACAGCAACACTTCTGCTTATATGGTACTGAGGAATCAAACCCAGGGCCTCATGCATGCAAGCCAAGGACTCTACCACTGAGCTACCTTCTCTACCACTGAGCTACCTTCCCAGCCCCTTAGTTTTTTTGCTTAGTTTTTTTAATGCCAAGATAACACTTTTCATACTTTTCCATATTTTCTAATTCTGTATGATACCTCTATAAAATTTGCTGTACCATGGAGCCTGTCAAACTGTCAGTCCTGAGTTTTGATGACTTGGTCGATTGGTTGGTTTTACTGTGGATGGTTGAGTTTTTTGTTGTCATCATTGTTGGTGTTATTGAGTTCATGAAATAATTCTTTCCAGTCCTGTTATAGTTGTTTTGCATAGCTTTGCCCTGGAGTGCTTTACCTTGGTGATTTCTTTGATTCTGAGTCTTCCTCTTTTCTTATGAATGAAACATATTTTAATATCTTTATGGTAAAAGGTACATGGAAGTAAATTTTTTGAGACTTTGCATTTTTGAGACTTTGCATTTCTGACTTCACTCTTGATTAATCATTTGAGTAGATATCGAATTCTAGGTTAGAATTTTTTAAAGTGTTTTGCTATTGGGTCTTTTTCTCCAGTACTATGATAGCATCATGATGCATTCCTTTAAATGTGGCCTTCTTCCAGCATGGTGCCAGTGTAGCATAATGATGCACTTCAAGAAAATTTTTTTTCTTTTTTTTTTTGGGGGGGGGGCGGTCCAGTCGTGGGCCTGAACTCTGGGCCTGGGTGCTGTCCCTCAGCTCTTCAGCTCAAGGCTAGTGCTGTACCACTTGAGCCACAGCGCCACTTCCGGCTTTTTTTTTCCTGTTTATGTGGTGCTGAGGAATCGAACCCAGGGCCTCATGCATGCAAGGCAAGCACTCTACCACTGAGCCACCTTCCCAGCCCCTTCAAGAAAAATTTTTGAGATATTCTTTGCTAGGCAGGTGTTTTACCATATATACCATTTCCCTGACCCTTTTTGCTTTTATTATTTTTAGAATAGGGTCTTGAGTTTATGCCCACAGTGACTTGGACCATCCTCTTCTGTCATGGGTAGACCACCACCATTATAGATGGGAGCCACCATACCTGACAAGCATTTGTGTTTTTTAATCCAAGGACTTACGTCTTTCATCTCTGGGACATACTCCTGAATTGTTTATTTGGTCTTATTTTTCTTTTTTGTTTGTACTTTTTCCCCCCCTGGAACTCATTAGTTTTGTCTCTGACCACTTGAACGAATTTTATTCTTTCATTTTTTTTTTTTAAAGGTGATGTACAGAGTGGTTACAATTACAAAAGTCAACTAAAGAGTACATTTCTTTTTGGATAGTATCACTCCTTCCTTCATTTCCTCCCAGTTTTTCCCTCCTGTCCCCATCCACAAGTTGTATAGTTCATTTTCAATATAGTATCTAGAGAATACCACTGCTGCATTTGTTCACTGTTTGTCCCTCCATTTCTGTACTTCTCTTTTCCCTCCCAAAGACAAACAAGACAAAAAGAAGAGGAAATGAAAACAACCACAAAGAAAAAACTCATTTCCATTTCCTGGAGTCCATTTCAGTAAACATTTTATATGATCATATGCACATAGGCATTGCACCTTTATGTTCGTCTCCTAAGAGTATTCTCCTTTGATTTCATTGTGTGTGAATGAATACCCAGAGTCCTGTATAATTTATTATGTCCCAGTGAATTTTAGATCTAGCTTCCACATCTGAGAGAAACCATGTGCCATTTGTCTTCTGAGTTTGGCTTAGCTCACTTAACAGGATTTGTTTTAGGTCCATCCATTTCCCTGCAATTGACCTATTGTCCTTTTATTTTCTTACAAATCTTCATTTATTTTGGAGCATTAAAATGGAATAAGCCAAGTAAATATTTTGCATGTATCTAAATTAAGTGGGACGTATTATATTGGTCTCTTTTTAACTTGGAATTGACCTATTATTCGTTCTAATGGTTTTGTAACATTTCATTGTGTATAGGTACCACATTATTGATCCACTTATCTTTGAAGGACATCTGGGTTGTTTCCATATCTTGGCCATTATGAATAGAGAGGCGCAGTGAGCATGGATGTGCAGATGTCTTTCTCATATCCTAGTTCATGACGTTCTGGGTAGATGCCCAGAAGTGGTATGGCTGGGTCATAAGGAAGATCTATGTTTAGTTTTTTTGAGGAACCTCCAGACTCTCTGTCCAAAGTTATTGTACTAGTTTACATTCCCACCAACAGTGCAATAGGATTCCTTTTTTCCCCATGTCCCCGCCAGCATTTGTTGGTATTCAAACTCACAGTGTTGGCCAGTCTAATAGAGATGAGTTGGAATCTCAGAGCTGTGTTGATTTGCGTTTCTTTTATGGCCAGGGATGTTGAGCATTTAATCATGTATTTCTTTGCCGTTCTTCCCTCTTAAGAATTCTCTCCTTTGCTGGGACTCCGTGGCTCACACAGGCTCAGGAGGCTGAGATCTGAGGATCACCATTCAAAGCCAGCCGGGGAAGCAAAGTCTGTGAGACTTTTTTTTTGGGTGGGGGGAGTGGTCCGTTCGTGGGGCCTGAACTCTGGGCCTGGGCGCTGTCTCTCAGCTCTTCAGCTGTACCACTTGAGCCACAGCGCCACTTCCGGCTTTTTTTCTTTTTGCTTATGTGGTGCTGAGGAATCGAACCCAAGCCTTAGGCATGCAAGGCAAGCGCTGTACCACTGAGCCACCTTCCCAGCCCATCTGTGAGACTCTTATCACTAGTGAACCAACAGAAAACTTTTGTCTCAAGTGCTCCTTGAGCTGAACAGTGCAGGGACAGCACTTAGGCTCAGAGTTCAAGCCCCATGACCAACCAAAAAAAAAAGTCTCTCTTTGCCCAAATAGTGATTGGTTTATGTTAGTTTCCTGAGATCCTTGTATATTTTGGATATTATGTCTTTGTCAGAAGTGTTGGTGGTAAAGAACTTCTCACAGTCTGTTGGTTGTCTTTCTAGTTTAGTAATTATCCTTTTTAGTTTTAGTAATCCCATTTGTCAAGTCTCTCTCCTGCTATGCCCCTGGGACTCCTCAAAAAGTTTCTGCCTCTGCTTATGACTTGTAGTGTTTCTCCTACTCCTTGGAGTAATTTCAAAGTTTTAGGTCTGCGGTTGAGGTTTTTGGTTATTAGTGCATGGTGGTTAAGAGGTATCCACTTTTAGTTGTCTGCATGTGGACGTCCAGCTTTCCAAACAACCAGTTATTGAAGAGGCTATCTTTTTGTTGCCATATATCTTTGGCCCCCTTATCAAATATCAGATAACTATAAGTATATGGTTTTATTTCCAGGTGTTCTAGACTGTTCCATTGATCTTAGGTCTAGTTTTGTGCCAATACTAAGTCTCACTTTTTAAAAGTGATTTTTTTTGTTTTACTTTTTATAAGAGTTTCTTGGCTTTTTATACTTTCATGAGGTGGTTTCTCTCAAAAAATTGGTAATCCTTGTATTTTAGTTCGCTTTGAAGAACAAAACATTATAAGTTAACTTAAGAGCCCGACCCAGAGCTGGGAAGGTAGCTCAGAGGTAGAGTGCTTGCCTTGCATGCATGAGGCCCTGGGTTCAATTCCTCAGTACCACATAAGCAGAAAAGCCCGGAAATGGCGCTGTGGCGCAAATGGTAGAGGGCTAGCCTTGAGCTGAAGAGCAGAGGGGGTAGCCCAGGCCCTACAACCAACCAACCAAAATAAAAAAAAGAGCCTAACCCCAGCTACTTGGGAGTCTAAGGTAGAAGGATCACGTGAGTATTAGAGATTAAGCTACGCTGGGGCAACATAATAAGACTGTCTCCAGACAAATCCACCACCACCAACAACAAAAAAACCCACAGCCAATTCGTAGCTCTTAGTCCCTGAGAGGTAAAGCATAAGCCTGGTGGTTAGTGTTCTAGAAGTAAGCAGTTGAAAGAAGTTGGTCTGCTACACACACATCTACCAAGTCATGTCTTCTTCCTCCACCCACTGTTCTCCTTTATTCTTGGTATGCTGAAGTCCAAAGCCTCTCTTATTTGGCATGGGGAGGGTTATATTGTGGGAATGGGGAAGGAATAATTCTTGGGGCTCGGTGGAGAACTTTCAAATACTTATTTCTTTTTACACTTATCCTTAGTTCAGCTTTTATTCCTTTTTCAGGCTAACTGGCTGAACTTTTAGAGATTATTTGGGGCTAACTGGCTTGTTAGCTGTTCTTTTCTTCTTTACCTTCAGTTTGACATTTCTTGTGTCATTTTGTTATTTGAGAGGAGTAAGGACCTGATGAACTCTTGTCTCTGTAGTTTGATTGTGGATCTCTTGAAGAAGGAACTCTCTCAGTGAATCTCTGGAGCCTAACCTGATTCTGTATACATTCTCAGTAAATGTTGATAGGACTCCACCTTGAGCCCCAGAGATTAAAAACTTACCTGTTTTACAGAAGTGTAGGAAATACCTTGAGAAAATGTAAAATTGTAAGTTAGGTAAAGTTAGTTATGAGAACACTCACACTTTAGATCCCTACTAGAAGTACCATGTTTTTCCCATCTAAATGTAAAGATAGACAGTTTTTTTTTATCAAAAGTGATCTAAATGTAAAGACATACAATTTCTTATCAAAAGTAATTTTAAGGTCTGGGATAATGCTGACATAGTAGAACATTTGCATAGCAAGATTGAGGTCCTAAGTTCAATTCCCAGTAGTGTTTTATAAAGTCAGGTTTAATGAGGCACAATTTAATGAGGCATTAATTTTTTAGATACACACAATACAGATTTCCATCATCCAAAAACATTTCATTTTATCCTGTATTAGTAAATTATCACTTCCATCTTTACATTTGATACTGCTGATGTGATTCTGCTTTCTACAGGTTTGCCTTTTTTTTCAAATGTCACCCAAAGAGAATCACATTGTCCAGCCTTCCATACTATTTTGCAGTTGTTACATTCTTTTCTAATTTGCTAGGACTTTTTGGTTTGTCTTTAGAAACTGTAACAAGCTTTTTTAAAAAATGAATTCATTGTTTTAATTGTAATAAATCAGATTTTATAATATTTAACTAGATTATATATTTACAGTAGCAAATACACACAGGAAATATATGCAGAGAAGGGCCCAGTGACTGTGAGCCTCATGACACAACATAACCAGCAGCAAAGGAAGTATACCAGCCAAACTATGTCTGTGTTTTCCACAGGGGTGGGGAGCATCAGCTGATGTGGTGTTTTTGGAAGGACTGGGTCATTCAGAGCTACTACCTATATGCATTGGCCCTCTGCTAGGGCATTTTTACCAGCTAGATGGAATCTAATTCCCAGTAACAGAATAACCAACACACTTAATTTCACTTGCTACAGTTTGAATTTTTATGGAAGATTCTTGATTTTTAATACCAAATGTTTTGAAAGTTAAGAGAGGTTTTATTTAAATTGTATTTTTAACTTGCCTGAGCTAGCTTTGCTGAAGGCATACTAGGAAGATGAAGGAGTGTTTATAAGACATTTGTGTAAATTGTTTTTTCAAACTAGAAGAGTTGTAATATTTATCTCCAATAGTTGTTTCCAAAATTATGGTTTAGAATTTGAACATGTATTTGGAAAGTAATCATAAAAATCAAAGTATAATTAGAATAAGACTATAGTGAAGCTTAAAAGAAGTAAAAAAAATGACTGAATTTAGGTAACTTTATTCTGAATAAATACATTTTTATGAACTAGACCCTAATTTTCTTTCTTTTTCATCATTATAAAACTGGAAAACATCAAAAAGTTTATAATAAATAAAAATACTAATTGTGATAATCATTGGTGCCCCAAAGGATAGTTTCAGTGAAGATAGAGTAATGGCTAGATACTAGTTTCTTAATATAAGGAGATATAGAGCAAATATATATGTATGTGTGTATGTATGTATATATACATTAGATTATTATAAAAGATGTTTCTTTGCATAATTTCTCATTAAGAGGGATTGAGAAATGAACAGATTTGGGTGTTTGTTCTCATAATTGTATAAGTTTATGGACAGTGAAGTAGCAACGGTATCACCGGTAGAGGCTTGAGAGAGAGGGAGGGTTGTCTAAGATTTAAAGAACTTGGAAAAAGTGGACCTTTTAAATACTACATATTTATTTTTCAGAAACCAAGGCCTAAATAGACCTTAATTTTCGATGGCAGCAGTTCCATGTGCCTCAGTGGGAGTAGGAAGGAAAGGACACTAAATGGAAGTTAATTTCTGGACTGTTTCCTCAGGATGGCTCCAGAAGTCGCGGCTGTAGAGAGGAAAGGGGGATATAATCAGCTCTGTGACCTCTGGGCGGTAGGCATCACAGCCATAGAACTTGCCGAGCTTCAGCCTCCTATGTTTGACCTACACCCAATGAGGTCAGTGTGTCCAAATTGGAAGAATTCTGTGCTGAAGCTACAGCTTCTTTTCTTCTTAGTGTTATTTATTATGTCATGCGCAAATAATTCACTTAGTCTTACTTTACCTGAATTGGAAATCATTATATGGTTCATAATATTATTAAAAATAAATATTAATTTTTTCTGATGTGCTGTGTTTCATTGATTTTTTCAGAGCATTATTTCTAATGACAAAAAGCAATTTTCAGCCTCCTAAATTAAAAGATAAAATTAAGTGGTAAGTATTTTTATGTTATTAACCTCCATAGCAAAATGAACAAAAAAGGAAATGTAGAAGTCTAATTTCCAAAATTTCTTAGGTCAAATAGTTTTCATCATTTTGTGAAAATGGCACTTACCAAAAATCCCAAAAAAAGACCTACTGCTGAGAAGTTGCTACAGGTATTATTTTTGCCCTATGTTGCCTATATTTGCCCTATTTTCAAAAGATACTGTTTAGTCAAATTTTAAATAAGTGTTCTGTATTTTTTTGTAGCACCCTTTTGTCACACAGCCCTTGACACGTTCTTTGGCAATAGAGCTGCTGGATAAAGTAAATAATCCAGATCATTCCACTTACCATGATTTTGATGATGATGATCCTGAGGTAGGAATTGTTTTTACCAACTAGCATGTATATTTCTGTGTGTGTGTCTCCGTGTCTCTGTGTCTGTGTGTTTGTGTACACGTTTGAGAGAGGTATATACACAGAATGAATCAATTTTTGAATTTCTGGATTTTTAAGTAATAATAATAATAAAAACCATTGGGTGAATAAGTCTTTGTCCTGTGATTTCATGTGCTAGATTTTTCTTTTTGACTACTTATAGATAAGCATTGTCTGACATGGAAAAGGCAGAGTCATTTTAATCCACTTTTGCAATTACCATAGTTTCAAAAAAGTTATTTTGGATGAAGAAGAAAATAAAGAGAAAGCACTTAAGCAAGCTGTTAGCATACACTCCACTTAATTTTTTTTCTTGAAATACTCTTCGTACCATGCTTCATATTGCTTAGTAAGGGTATGATTCACCTTGTTGGTGACTGAAACATTAATGGTCTTGTATAGAAATAAAAACAAACTAATCTATTTCTTTGAATAAAATAACCCTAATATAACAAAAACACTGGCATTAAAAACAGCTTCACTTTGTCGGCATACGTAACATTCCTAGCCCAAGAAATGATTGTGATTCCTAAGGTAAACTCAATATATGTGACATGGCAGGATTCTGTTACTGAATCTGTAATAAAAACAGATGGTCTTGGTCTCTACCGGGAGGTACTGGGAATGGTATGAATTTCAAAGAGGGTATGATGGAATGAAGCCATCCAGTGGTTTAGATGTTCAGATTGTCCTTTGTCAAAGAGGAATGTTTTGTCAAGTCAGCATTCTTCCAGCTAGATATCTTTATACAAGTCTTATGTAGAAGGCCTAAGAAAAAGGTTTGGAAGCCTGGTATTGTTAACTCAGGTCTATAATCCTAGCTACTCAGAAGGCTCACATCTGAGAATCATAGTTTGAAGCCAGCAGGTGCAGGAAAGTCCTTTGAGACTCTTTACTCCAATTAACAACCAAAAACCCAGATGCGGATCTGTGGCTCAAGTGGTAGAGTGCTAGCTTTGAGCAAAAAAGCTCAGGGTAGTGCCCAGGCAATGAGTTCAAGACAAGGGACAAAGATATAAACTATTCTTGATCTTACACTAGGTGGAATTTTGTGTTTTATTACTTTAATTTTGTTTTTAAAAATCTAGTTCTAAAAACCCTTGTACAGGCAATCTTTGATGCATCCAGTAGAAAACTGCTATAAAAATGACATGGTGGGATAACACCCAGGCCTTGAGTTTAAGCTCCAGGACCAGAAAACAAAAAATAAATTCCATTATTGTCACACATAAATATATAGAGTTGGAAAAAATAGACTAATAGCTATAGTACATAGATACTACAGTCAGTGAGAATTAACATGTTTCATTTCTTTGTTTTAAAAATGTTATTAGTCGGTTATGGTGACTTACACCTGTAATCTTAGCTACTTGAGATACCAAAATCAAGAGAATCAGCTGCAGAAAAAGATTTCTTCTCAACCACTAAAAAAGTAGGCACAGTATAGTTTCAGGAAGCATGGAATAGGTTGATCTCTGTCTAGGTCTGCTTGGGCATAAATGTGAGACCCTATTAGAAAAACAAAAAAAATTTAAATCCACTAGTTGGTTGAGAATGGGGGATTTTGCAAAACTGAACTGTGATTCTTCATATTTCCACCTTGCAAGTAGCTGGCCACCACACTAACCGTAATTAGGACATTTAAATGAAATTGTTAAAAATATTTTGAGGGTTTTTTTTTTACTATCAGCAGTTAGCTTTTTTAAAAGTTCAACATATATAAAGGATATTTTTACATTTTTTCATATTTTTCTAAATTCCTGCAATTTTAAGGGATTTTTTTATTGATTTTGGTAAAAGTATATGTGCCTGGTTATATGTGCTTGAAAAAAGTGAGATCCAAAGAATAAATTTGATAGAAGTAAGTACATGTTTAGATTTCCTTTGTCTGAGATTATTACCCAGAATTAAAGTTGGTAGACTTTTTTTTCTTAAAATGCCAAACAAAAATATGGTTGACATTTTAGACCACATAGTCTCTGTGACAGTTATAAACTATCTTGTAGAGTAGAAGTAACCATAGGTGGTTCATGATGGTTTTTGAGTATTAGTACAATAAAACTTGGTTTATGAAAACAATCGCAGTGGAAATTGGCCATAGGTCATAGTTTGTCAGTTCTTGACAGAGGAAAAACCAATTGCTTTTTATCCGTTCTATCAGGACTTCTTAACTTGAGCACTGTTGACATTTGAGCTAGACAATCCTTTGTTGTAGGTAACCACCCTGTATCTCTGACCTGTTCCAATTAGATGATGGTAGCCTTCTTTAATCTCTTGTGACAACCAAAAATGTCCCTAGCTATTTCTTCATGGCTCTTCAGCTAAAATTCCTCTGGGGAAAACCCACGGTCTTAACTAGTGTTTATTATATTATCTGTATCTTTACTTCATTTGGTTCAATGTTTGTATTCTCATCTAGTTCTCATTGTAACTGCATATGTTAATGGCCTGCGGGGAGGAGGGAGTAAGTGTGTTTTTATTAGCATATATTAACTCTACAAAAGATTTTTATTGTCATATTTCCATACATACATACAATGTGCTTTGATCACATTCACACCCTATTACTCTTTCTTATCCCCCCTAATGAAAGGATGTTACTGATATTTGTGTTATTTGATGATACAGCAGTCACAAAACTCTTGAAATAAAATCACTTGAAAAAACATGAAATAGTTTATAAGGACAGGTTTTATGTTTTTTCAAGAAGCATTCTCAAGACATTTTTTGAAAATCATGGGAACTATGCATCACTGAATAGGTTTCTTTAAATATAATTTATTAGAATGATTCTTATCACTTTTCTAAGTGCTATTTATTGGTGTACTTATAAACTCATCATAGCAGGTTTCTGTGACTATATAACACTTACTAAGAATAATGAGAATGCTCATGTTTAGAAATTAAAGCTTCAATTTTTGAGAATATCTATGTGGACTTTGTCAAATTAAATAATAGTAATCTGTGTCCTTCTACAGGTCTGTCTTTTCAAGTTCAGATGAGCAATCTCAGAAATGATTCTGTTTATATGAAATAACATTTTAGAAAAGTTAAATGAAATCTTTCATCATTGGAAAACACACTTTTTATCATTATTGTAGATTGTTTTTAATGTACTACTGCCTATTTTAATTTCAAGTGGGCATTCGTTCATTATCCTGATCATATTTAACAGAATCTTGTCAAGTCCTTTTTCCCAGACATGAAACAAATCATTTTAAACATGGATTTTTTTGAAAAGGTGTGGGGACAAAACCCACTTCCTGTTATAACCATCTTAAACAGTACATGTAAAAAGAAAATCCCTTCTGTTCTAATAGGGAAATAATGCAGCTATAGTCTTTTTTTTTCTTTTCACTTGGAGTGTTTGTTACACTTTCAGAAGCTTTCCTTAAGCTGCACTTGTTAGTTCATTCATTTTTCTGAAATTGGTACTCTTGACATCTAACACATGACCTACCCAGAATATAAGTTTTCTAGCCTCCTTTGCTATCACTTTTGGCTAGTTAGATTCTGTAGTAATTGCAAGGTATGAAACTCCTGTACAGATTAAAGGAAAAGGATTCAATACTGGCTTATTTTCTGCTTATGGAAATTAAAGAGCATCTAAACCTCAGAGAAACTGATGGGATGAGAAGCAACATTTTAATGAAAAAAAAAGACTTCTGAAAAGTAAAATCTGTAAGTTCCTACAAATATAAGTTACAAGGCTTTTCAACATCTCACTTATATCAGCATTCAACTTATGAGGAAACTTGAAGCAAACCATTATTTCTTCATAGTTGAAATTACTATTGTGGTTACCTTTTTAAAATGTTTGGAAGCCAGCTACTTAGGAGACTGAATTCAGGAAGATTACAGAACAAGGCTAGCCTAGACAAAAAGTTTTCAAGACCTTATCTCAACTTATAGAAAGCTGGACACAACAGCTACACGGGAAGGGTAAATAGAGGAACATAGGCCAAGCAAAATGCTAAAACTTTGCCAGGCACCAATGTAATTCTAACTAGTTGGGAAGTTGAGATCCTGAGGGTCATGGTTTAAGGCAGTCAGGCAGAAAAGTTCTTAAGACCCCTTTTCCACTGATAGCTGTATACATTGGCATGTGTCCATTATCCTAGCTGCTAGGAGACTGAAATCAAACTTAGAGCCTGCACAGTGAGATTCCATCTTACCAAATGAAACGGAGTGTAGTGGCACATGCCTGTGATCCAGCTACAACAGGAAACCCAAAAAAAGTGGATTGCAGCTCAAATGCATACCCAGACAGGATTGAAACTATATCTCAAAAGTAACCAATGCAAAAGAGGATTGGGAGTGCTAAGAGTGCCTGCATTCAAACCTCAGTACTCTCACCATCCTCCCCCCAAAAAGTAATAAGTTGCAATATTTTGTTCTGATTGTTACAAAATGAAGTGTTTTTCATGTTTGAGTGATTTTGTAATAAAGCTATGACTTTAAACATATAATTAGTGTTTTTCTTCCAGCCCCTTGTTGCTGTACCACATAGAATTCACTCTACAAGTAGAAATGTGAGAGAAGAAAAAACACGCTCAGAGATTAACTGTAAGTATATATTATACATAGTTCATAATTTATGATGGAAAATAAGATGTCACTTAGTTATAATTATTTTCTTCCAGATAATTTTTCTTAGTAAACATTTTAAATGTAAAGATAAATAAACCCAGAATTTTATTTTGTTTATTCCTTTAAAAATTTTGATAGCAAATGTGTGAATTGATAGCACTGTTTAGGATGAAAAGCAAAATCTCTAAAATCTCTATGAATATGTATTTAAGTCATCTAGGGAGCTCATTAAAATTTAGTAGCTTGTGAGTCAGTAGACAGTAGATCTTAAATAATGTCTAAGGAGATGGTAAGAAAAAAATTGGACAATGGACATTTACAGATAGGAATTTTTGAGATTCTTCAAAGCATAAACAGTGTTACAGACTGTAATAACCAACTGTTCAAACAGTTGTTGGAAGCTGGATAATAGTGCTTCAAGACTGTAATTCTAGCTACTCAGGAGGCTGAGATCTGAGGATCACAATTCAAAACTAGCCCAGACAAGAAAGTCTATGAGACTCTAATCCCCAATTAACTGTCCAAAAAAAGCTGAAAGTAGAGCTGTTACTCAAGCGCTATACCATGCCAGCCTTGAGCAAAAAACTCAGGGACAATGCTGGAAGATTCTGTGGCAGAAATGTAATGGTAGGAAATTTGGGGGACACAGATACAAGGATAAGGTCTGATTAATGAATCTTCATAAGGACTTTGGTTCCTTTTCTGGGACTGTATTTCATCCACAGAGTATAGGCAGAGAAATTGAATATGTGCTATACTGTGGCTAGCGCTCTACCACTTGAGCCACAGCAACACTTCTAGCTTTTTCTGCTTATATGGTGCTGAGGAATCAAATCCAGGGCCTCAGGCATGCAAGGCAAGTGCTCTACCACTGAGCCACCTTCCCAGCCCAAAGCCAAAGAATTTTTAAAAGAATCTATTAGTTGGAAAGATAGCACTGAAGTCTTTTTTTTTTGTTTTTTGTTTTTGGCCAGTTGTGGGGCTTGAAGTCTGTCCCTGCGCTCTTCAGCTCAAGGCTTAAGCTCTACCACTTGAGCCACAGCGCCACTTCCAGCACTGAAGTCTTAAATTCTAGCCTTGAGCTGAAGAGCTGAGGGACAGCGCCCAGGCCCAGAGTTCAGGCCCCATGACCAGACCCCCACCCAAAAAAAAAATTCTTTGGCTTAAAACTAGAATACAGTAGATGATAAAATTAAATGTTCTTTGTCTTGGAGTAACTTTTGTTTGTATGTGTATATTGGGGGAATGTACTGGGTTTGGTGCTGGCTGACAAACACTCTACCACTTGACCTACACCTACAGCCCTGCTTTTTGCTGGTTCTTCTGGAGATGGGAGTCCAGCAAATTTTTTGCCAAGGCTGACCTGGAACCATTATTTAGACTTCAGCTCCTGAGTTGCTAGGATTACCGGCATGAGCCACTAGTGCCTGGCTAGCATTGGAGCGACTTAAAATTATTACATCATTAAAGATATAGAACAGATCCTATATTAACTTCTCTTCTTTTTTTAGTTGGTCAAGTGAAATTTGACCCACCTTTAAGGAAGGAGACAGAACCACATCATGAACTTGTAAGTAGCATAGTCTTCAACTGGTCATGATGAAAATAAATGTTTTAATTTGTCTTTGTGACATACTGGTGCAGACTAAAAAACTAGTTATTATTTGGGGAAACAAAATGGTAAGTAATTTCAAAATCCTGAATAAATAAATCTGTGTTGCTGATACTGAACATTTTCAAAATTGTTTTTGAAAAAACTTTTAGTTTTGCCATCCTCCAATTAAATGTTTTTAATTCTGGCCCTGTAATAATTTTTTTCACTTTTGTTTTTCAGTCTTTGAGGAGCTTTATCTGTATTTATTAAGATAAATGCTGTGATTTCTAAATATCACAATATACTCAGGAAAATAAGCCATGTATAATAAATAGGCTTCCCATTTAAGTGGATGAGGCTTGCCAACTGTACTAATATTCTTCTCATGGTTCTTTGGATTTTTTTTTTAATTCTCCTTTCTACATATGGGGTGATTTTTTTTACACAACCTTGCTTTGTAAATATTTGAGATGTTAGCACTCCATGGAAAAGTAAAAAATGAGATTTTTTTTTAAAAAATCAAACAAAATTAACCCTAATGAAATTACTTTGCCGAGTTAAAATTACATGTTAACACTTTTCCCTTTCCTATTTAATAAATAAAAATAAATTAAAGGCCGGGAGCTAGTGGCTCAAGCCTGTAGTCCTCACTACTCAGGAGGCTGAGATCTGAGGATTAGGGTTCCAAGCTAGCCCAAGCAGAAAAGTCCCCATGAGACTCTTATCTCCAGTTAGCCACTCAAAAACTAGAAGTGGTGCTGTGGCTCAAGTGGTAGAACGCTAGCCTTGAGCACAGAGAGGCTCAGCACTCAGGCACTGAGTTCAAGCCTACAACCAACAGAAAAAAATAATTAATTAAAGGTTACTAAAGATATAAGTGGGAACTTTTCCTCTCAATGTAATGCTTGTTTTAACTCAGTTGTTGACTGAAAGGTATGCAGAGTCCTCAGCCTTTATCTTAAGAGTAATTCAGTACATCAGCTTGAAGAAACATTGAGGAAAAGTCTTAAACTTCTCTTATTTTACCAATAAAGCCTGACATTGTTTAAGAGATAGCGAAGATTAAGAAGTTCACAAATGTTAATTATATTTTGTTAAGGCAGTCTGAATTTATTTTCTATTTCTCTTTTTAAGTTGGCATTGCATGTATTTAAATTCTGTACTAATTTAGTAATTGCATATAAAGTAGTTACAATGTTGCTTGTTTAGAAGCTGCTTAATATAAATTGATTTTGCATTAGCCTTAATAAAATTATGTTACCAGGATTTAACATCATTTGTGAGTTTCCCTTTGTGAATTTTTGGCTTTTAGTCTAAGTGTAAATAACCTGGGTTTCTTGGGTTTCTCTGCTAAACAGCCCGACAGTGATGGTTTTTTCGACAGTTCAGAAGAAATATACTACACTGCAAGATCTAATCTGGTATTTCTCAACTTCTGATTTTCTTTGTCAGCATTGTCTTAGTTTTGATTTTTTTTCTAAGATCAAATATTTCATTCAGTTTTATATACTATAGCTTGTCATTTAGCAAGCTTCTGTATATTAAGAAGTCTAGCAGTTTTTCCCATAACAGATAAATCTACCCAAATGTAAAGCTGTAGTAATAAATAAGAATGTATTTATATTTATGAAAAATATTTATACTTAAATTTTCATTCAAATATGAAGGTTTTTTATAGTTTAAATTTATTTTTATGAGCATACATTACTTGTACAAGGTTTTGATTTTTTTCATTTTTTTAAAATTATCTATTGAGGTGTAAGAAAAAGTTGGACATTTTCCTGCAAAATGTCTAGTTTTAATGTTGCTGTTTTAATCGGCTAGTAACTAACCATAGATGCACACACACATACAACCCCCCATATAAATATATATATACATTCATATATAAACTGCAGATATTACATTGCATATATTATTTCTGTATTAAATTATACATATACAGTTTTTAAAATAATTTGTTTCTAGCTAACAATGAAATTATTCTCTGATGAAATTTTAGTTTTGTGACATATCCAGTATTTAGAAAAAAATGAATTACACACCATCTCTAAAGTTAAAAATATTAAGACTGATGATTACATAAGAAAACTGGGAAATTCTAGTAGATATTAAGTATATAATATTTTTTAACAGTTGTTGTTAAATATTGTTATCTACGTGGCTGGCCATAGCCCCAAGTTGCCCCAGTGTTTATGCCCAGATTATACTTTCTGTTCATTAAATGCAATTTTCTTTTTATTTTTTACCTTTGCATCTTAATTACATATCTCTTTGAATTTTGGCTAGTACATAAGCTCTTGAATCGTTGCCTTTTTACATTTATAGAATATACAAGATGTTTGACATACGTTTTTTGGTGAAGAGTTGCTATCTTTTTGGATAAAAAATACACATGCAAATTCTAGTTATGAAACAAAATATAAGGTACCCTGCCAAAATGGTGGTCATTTGGCACCTGCTGATAAGAGGAAGCTGATATGTGATCTGTACTACAGAGTTAACCATAGGAGAGGCACTTTTGGACTAATACGGCTTACCTGGCTTCTGTGAGAGAGTAAGACTGGTAGGGGTTTTGTGCAGTAACCATTGTGGGTTCTTCAGGATAGAACAGGTGGATGCTAAGCACTTTAAATGTACAGTCATGTGCTGAATAATGACATTTCATTCCACTCCAGAGAGTATGTATATTATATATGTTGGGCCCATGTGGTTATCACCTATGGACATCATAGTCTTACACGGTGATGAATGCTAGAAATTGTCTCAAGACTGATTTCTGATGTGTGTCTCAGTCCTTAAGTGGCACATGACTTTGTTATTTTTGTATTTTGTATTTTTGAGGAGATATAAGATACAAAGAATTTGAAATTTGTCATTCCTTAGATAAGAATAACAGAATTGAGACTTCTTAGTATTTTGCCTCAGGATCAAACCTAAACCCTTGTACTGTACTGTCTCTGCCAACCAACATCATGGGAGGGTGGGGTTATTTGTTACGTTTTGCTTTGTAATACTGGATATGTTTATTCATATGCTCTCTCCCTCCCTCTCTCTCTCTCTCTCTGTCTCTCTCTCTCTCTCTCTTAACCTTTCCCCTTTCTTCCCTCTCACTCCATATATGTCCCATAGTATAATCTCCCCCTACCTTTTACCTTTGCATCTATTCTCCCCTCCCCACCAATAAAACACACATAGAAATTCTGGGCCATTACACCAAATATGTTACTAGAAAGTTTAAGGTAATTAACCTCAGTCCTTGCATCTAGCTGGAGAACAACTCAGCCAAAATACATATATAAGTAAAGACAACAGAAAAGTTAACTAGAAGAGAAATATAACATCATGAGAAATGATTGGGTGTAGCATAGATAATGATACAGAGAAGACAGTACCTCAGTCTGTCACCACAAGAGGTTGGCCTTGGATGAAAATGTGAGATTTCTGATTGGTAGGTCTTCTTTCTGTTTCTTATAAGGTCTTAGTGCCAAAGACTTAGTTCCTTAGTCTTTATTTCCTCATTCTTTTTTTTTTTTGGTCCGGTCATGGGGCCTGAACTCTGGGCCTGGGCGCTATCCCTCAGCTCTTCAGCTCAAGGCTAGCACTCTACCATTTGAGCCACAGCGCCACTTCCGGCTTTTGTCTTTTTGCTTATGTGGTGCTAAGGAATCGAACCCAGGGCCTCATGCATGCAAGGCAAGTGCTCTACCACTGAGCCACCTTCCCAGCCCCCTATTTCCTCATTCTTTTGTCCTTACTTTCTCCTGTTTTGTAGCCCCGTCTGGCAGGTTTTGTCCATCAGCTTATTTTACTGTCTGCTAGTTCTGCCATGCCACAATTCCCAGATGGGGAATTGTGAGCCAGATTCCCAGCCCTTCTGTTCTCATTTAATAACTCCCCATTTTTTCCCCAATATCACACTGCCTCTCAGCAGCCACTATTCTGGTTTTTATTAATTGTATTCTGGAATCATACACTGTTTGAAACTGTTTGTAACTAGCTAGCTTACTTCACTTAGCATAGTGTCATAATACGTTTAAGGTTCCTTCATGTTGTAACATATGTCAGAATTTTCTTCTTTCTTTCTCTGGTGCTGGACTTGAACTCAGGTCGTGAGTGCTGTCCCTTACCTTTTTCACTCAAGGCTAGATCTACCACTTGAGCCACAGCTCTTTTGGAGATGAGTCTCACAAACTTTCCTGCCCAGGCTGGCTTTGAACAGTAATTCTCAGCTATCAGCCTCCAATAGTGCCTAGCCTACAATTTCCTTTTGGATATTTGAAAATATTCCATTTTATATAAAAATCCCATTTTGTTTGTCCAGTCATTCATCGATGGACACGTAGGATGCTTCTGCTTTTTGGCTACTGTGAATAATGTGACCATGAACATGCTTGTATATAACTACAAGTAGAATCATTGGGCCATATGATTATTCTGCATTTAATTTTCTTTGAGAAACTTCCCTACTGTTTTCACCAACAGTGTACAAGGGTTCCAACTTGTTCCACATCCTTAACACTTCATATTTTTTGTTTGATTTGATGTTGATAATTGTTCTAGTAGGGAAAGTGTTCGTAATTATTTTAACTCTTAATAATGCTTGTCGCTAGCCACCCAAAACCTGATAAGCCCAAAATGATTGGCTTTCAGTAGGCAGTTGACAAAAATGAATCTTTTAGGACCCAAAGGAACATTTACTCCTTTAAAAACCTTGCTGTTTAAGGAATACATAAAATACTATGTTAGTTGCCTTGGATTGATTGACATTGGAATACTAAGTCATTGATCTGAAGAATATGCCTACCTGTTGATACTATTTTTAAGCTTCCAGCACAAAAATCATGATCCCTCAGTTTGAGGCCTCTCTCAGCCTGCTTTTGTCAGAATTCTGTATGATTAGTAAATGTAAATGTTCTAATACCACTTGCTTTTTGGAATTTTTTGGTAAAACTACGTAACTCTGTAAAACTTTTGGGTTCACTCCCTCTTTATTTCTGTAAATTGTCTATCATGTTGAAACTTTCTCACTAATGAATGATCTTATTCATGTCATAATTGTTTCTTTACTTTGCCAACTATAAAAGTTTCTCTTTTTCTTGGGTTAGCTATATTGCTCAATTATTGTTTCTTTTCTGTTTTTGTAGCCAGCTTTATCTACTCTACTGACTTCTGTTTTTTTTTAAATCAGGTATAAGATTTGTAATCTCCCAAGGGTATTAAAAAGAACTCCAATAAGACTTTCTTGATAATATATACTTTCCCTTTCTAGTGTTTCAAACTACCTCCTTTGTTCTTTTTCCGTTCTTTTGCACATTTTGTGTTTCTTTGAATTTTCATTCTAGGTGTAGAAACAGTCTCCTGTTCATTCAAAGGAACCACTGAGATTAGGACTTTCTTTCTCCAAAAGTTATTTTAAGTGTGCTAGGATAACCATCTTGAACTTTAAGCCTTCAGGTTAAAGCTCTTAATATGTCACTTCATTCTTTCAGTCCCATGTTGCTACTTATTTGACATTTGTCATTAGTCACTCATTAATAAATTGATGCCTAATTAATACTTCAGATGTTTTTATGCTTGCATGCTCTAGTATTTTTTAATTTGGCTTATCAAATTACAGAGTATAATTGAGTATACTATCATCTTGGGTTATTTTTGTGGACTTGGTAAGCATAATTTTGGTATCATTTTTCTAATACAGAATTTCTTCCAAATCCATTTTGAAAAACATTTTAGATTAGTCTTAGACTGACCTAAAATGATAGCTGCTAACTTTCTCTAGTTTTGCTTTTCTTACTTTTATGGTCTGATTTGCTGACTGAATTCCTGTTATAAGAGAAAAGTAAATAATGGTTGTGTTAGAGAGATTAGATGCATATTAGAAAACTTCAGTGTACTACTACACTTGATAATTATGATTAGCATGATAGGTTTTTTTCCCCATGATTGCTGTAGCACAACTTGATTTAGGGAGTAGAAATTGTTAATAAACAATGTGCCTCTTGCTGGGTGCTAGTGGTTCACACCTGTAATCGTAGCTACTCTGGAGGCTAGGGAGATTCAAAGCCAGCCTGGGCAAGAAAGTTTGTGAGACTCTTAACTCCAGTTAACGACCAAAAGGCTGGAAGTGAAATTGTGTGTGTGGGGGGGGTGTTTGTTTTTGTTTTGTTTTGTTTTGTTTTTGTTTTGTCGGTCCTGGGCTCCTGAATTCTGGGCCTGGGCGCTGCCCCTCAGCTCTTTTTAGCTCAAGACTAGCACCCTACCACTTGAGCCAAAGCGCCACTTCCGTCTTTTTCTGCTTATGTGGTGCTGAGGAATCAAACCCAGGGCCTTATGCATTCAAGGCAAGCACGCTACCACTGAACCACTTTCCCAGCCCGGAACTGTATTTTCAAGTAATAAAGCGCTAGTCTTGAGACAAATGCTTAGGGTCAGGGTCCAGGCCCTTAGTTCAAGCCCTAGAACTGGCATCAAAAAAAAAAATGAGGGCACCTCTTTTAATTTTAACTTTGTATATGCGTATTTAATCATCAAAATCAAATGTATCTACAACTTCTACTTTGATCTGAATGTTATTCTATGTAAACTATAGAATATAGACTATATAATATAATATAAACTATATGATATTATATAAATGTATTTGTTATATATACATAATATATAATTTATATATTTATATAAATATATAATTTATAATCATAAATGCTTGTATATTTATAATTATATGCATATAATTTACATACAAATTATATATTATGCACATAATATAATTTATATACAATATATTCTACATCATCTATAAAATATATTCTAGAATAATATAGAATATAAATGCCCAATTTTCTGTTAAAATGTTACTGCTGATCTCAGTTGATTTCCTATTTTTAATAATTAATATTTGCCTGCTAATTGGCTTACATCAGATGATCAGGATATTCTTTTTTACATGGATAAATGATGTTACTTGGGCTTGAACTTAAGGCCTCTCACTGTCATTCAGCTTTTCTTCACAAACTGTTGCTCTACCACTTAAGCTACACCTCTGCTTCTAGCTTTTTGCTATTTCAAGCTAAGAATCTTATATTTGTCTGCTCAGGCAGGCTAGCTTCAAACTGCAGTTCTCAGATCTTAGCCTACTGAGTAACTAGGATTAGTGGCATAAGCCACCAGAGCCCAGCTAAACTGGAAAACATCTGATTTCATTCAGTACAAATTTGTGCTTTTAAAAGCTATCATTTAATTAAGATTTAAGAGATTATATTGATTATTAAAAGTGTTTTCTGGTCTGTTGGGGTCTCCGTTGCCTATACTTGTAGAAAAAGGCCTGAACTTAGAAGTATACTCACTGAGATTAGTGTTTTCATTAGAATTTCATGTTAATACCATTATGACAGTTGACTGATCTTTTTTGTTTATGATAACATCTTTTCTGTCACTGATAAGAACATTATGCATGACAGAAAACTAGTTGCTATTTTTAAAGTAAATTATAAACATGAACCTGCACCTATACAAGATTATAAGCTGTGCTAAATGGGGAATAGAATATTTTAAGGAGCAAAACAGCAAAAGTTCAAATTAATAATGAGAGTTAAACTATTTAAGTATTTCAACTGAATGCTATGGGATGTATGACAAAACAGCAGTATTGAAGAAGACAAAATTAGAGCCTGGTCTAAGCCTGGATTTTTTATTTTGTTTTCATCAGATTATTTTTTGGACAGGACTTGGAGCACTTATATTTTAAAGTGCTTTTCCCTAAATAGAATACATTGCTTAGAATCCTCATATTCCTCAGCTTGGTTTTTTTGGTTCCTTGGTGTTTTGATGTTTTGTTTTGTGTTCTTTTTTTTTTTTCCTGCCAGTCCTAGGACTTAAACTCAGCGTCTTGGCACTGTCACTGAGTTTCTTTGGCTCATGGGTAGCACTCTACCACTTGAGCCACAGCACCATGTCCAACCTTTTCTGAGGAATTTGTTGGAGATAAGAGTCTCACAGACTTTGATGTCCCAGCTGGACAAAGCACAATCCTCAGATCTCAGCCTTCTGAGTATAGCATTACAAAGCTTGGTATTTTTAATGATCTAATTATTTATAGGTATCTTAACATGGATGAAGTGCTATTTATAGGAAAATAAATGTCATTTGAACATTTTCAGGACATGATGTGTGCCAGGTCCATTAGATGATGGCTTTGAGAAAAGAAGATAGATTTGACCTTGTTCTCTTTCGTTAAGTAGCCTGGCTATGACAGGCTTGAAAGTAGTTTAAAACATAGTGTAACTAGAAGAGCTCTTTATGTTAAATGCTGTGGGGAAAAAAGGCACACAGCTATCTCTTAGCCTTAGAAGGATGTTCCAAGGTGACTTTTGTACATTTATCATACGCCTCACATTATATGATAAAAATAAAAGCAACTTTTTGCTGTGTTCTAATGAATATAAGATTTATTTTAAAACTTTTAAATAGTCTCACTTATAAATAAAAATATTGCTTGAAATAGAGTGGCTTCTTTTAAAAGGAGAGAAAAGGTAGCTTCATTCTTTCCATGGATGTTGCAGAGTACATTTCTTTTTCTCAAGAAGGTATTTGACTGGAACACATACATTGTTAATTCCTTTGAATTTTAATTCTTAACACTTTTAACATCCCATAGCATTCAGTTGAAATATTTAAATAGTTGAACTCCCTTATTATTCATTTGAACTTTTGCTGTTTTGCTCCTTAAAATATTCTATTCCCTTTAGCGCAACTTATAATCTTGTTATAGGTACAGGTTCATGTGTATAATTTACTTTAAAAATAGCAACTAGTTTTTTTCTTTAAAAAATTATCTGTATGAGCCAGGCACTGGTGGATCATGCCTGTAATCCTAGCTATTCAAGAGGCTGAGATCTGAGGATCTCGGTTCAAAGCCAGTCCGGGCAGGAAAGCCTATGAGACTCTTAGCTCCAATAAACCACCAGAAAACCGAAAGTGGTGCTGTGGCTGAAGTGATAGAGCTCTTGCCTTGAGCTGATGAGCTGAAGGACAGCACCCAGGCTAAGTTCAAGCCCCACGACCAACCAAAAAAAAAAAAAATTACCTGTCTGATGCTACAGTGAAAAATATGTGAATGTATATGTATACATAATTTTTTAGATGCTATGTTCAAAGTCAAACCAAAATTTTTATTCTTTCTTCTGTGATCATTTTCATTATCATGTTAGAGAATACTTTATTTCAGCCTTTTTCTTTATTAAAACTGATATATATGTATATCTATATATGATATAGATACACAAACACATTCACACACACACATATAGTACCATTAGCCACAGATGAAACTTGCCTGTCCTTTGGAAAGCTTCCTAGGAAAATACTCAAATAATTTAAAAAATTAGGACTATAAATACAGCTTTTATTATTAGAAGCCCTGCCATGCCTTTTTTAAAGAGCATATAGCAATACAGATTTATTTGGGACCTGGGATTTCTCTTTTAAAAGTAATGTATATTAATGTATGTATGTGCTATAAGATGTGCTTTAAAACTTTTTCTAAATATTTCATTTTGCACTATTAGGACCTACAACTAGAATATGGACAAGGACACCAAAGTAGTTACTTTTTAGGTGGAAACAAGTAAGTAAAGGTCTTTTAAATTTTAATTTCAATTCAACTTAAGTTGCCATTAGTATAGTATTTCTATATGTAAGATAATAAGTTCTTTTGGGCTGGTAAATTTATTTTGTAATATGCCATAACTTTTGCTGTTGATTATCTTCTTGCCATTTATAAGCATTTCTAATTGTCATAATGGAGAGAATCAACTTAAAATTTTTATATCACAACATTTTGCTGATCTTACTTGTTATAGAATAAAATCTATAGCCCAACTGAAGATAAATATGTATATTTCCATAGTTTTTTTTCCTTTCTAAAACTGACCTGTTTATTCTGTACCAAATTTTGTCAAATATGTTGGCCAAAAAAAATCGAATTGTTTATACTATTCAGAATTTTTCCTTTAACTCTATTAGTCTTTTAAAAAGTGAATAGTAGTTGAAATGTATTTACAGTCTTGAAACTTATCAACTCATGCAAGATATAAAGTAGTCAGTCAATACCTACTCTACACCAGGTATCACCTAGAGAAGTTATATCATGAAGTTGAGACATATTCTCCTATTTTTAAGTTACACAGTTGAAAATAATGATCAATGACAAAGAGCTTAGTTTTAAGGATAATAATGCAAAACTGTTACTTGCTTTTAAAACAATTTTAAACTATCTTTTTCCTATACAAAGAAAAGGCTTTGAATAACCTAAAGAAATTATTACTTTTGTATATAATCTGAATTTCAGATATGAGAAATTTCCTATTTATTAATATTAATCTTGATCATATTATTAAGCCTGTACCTTATTATTAGTCTGTACTTTACAATATAAAATAAATGTAAAATTTCCTTGGTATAAAGTGCAATTTTACATAAATAGTAACTATTGTTTTATTACTTGTCTAGGTAGACACCAAAAAATAGTTTATCTCATTGTAGGCTAGCAAATAAAAAACTTCATTGTGTCTTCTATATGAATTTCTTTTACTAATTCTAATGGAATTTTTATATTATTTTCTCTAAATACGAAGCCACTAGTTTTTTACCACCAGATTTTGGTGAGAGTGAATAATTTGAAAACCTTTTTGGGTAATTAAAAGTTATTTATAATTACATAACACAATACAAAATATAATGACCTACCAATATATATACTTTTTCTAGATCCCTCAATTCTCATTGCTGGTTTTTATTGTTAGATATAATAGTATGTAGTGATTTTGGCTAGGTAAAATATTAATAATTTGCCCAACCTTCATTTTTTGGTTAATTGGATCCCTGCTTAAGGAACTGTATTCTATATAACGAATCATTGGCAAGGTAGGTTGACCAAAAGTCTGCCCTTTGGCTGTGTTTTATGTATAGGTGTATACATACATGTGACATGAGCATGGATGTAGCACTTCTCTTACTGTATTGATATGTCTGCTTTATTCTTGTGACTAGACAAAGTGTTTTCAAAACTCACAGGATTTCCTGCTTTCTCCATAGGTGATCAGGCAGACAGATTTCCATTGATGGGTTTCTACCTATTCCAGATCACCCAGAAACTGTCAAACTTATCATTGTTGCAGAGAAACTTTTTTAAATAGAAGCCATGTATTTTTGCTGGACACCAATGGCTCATGCCTATAATCCTAGGTACACTTGAGGAGGCTGAGATCTGAGAATTGCTATTCAAAGCCAATCTGGGCAGGAAAGCCCATGAGACTCCTGTTTCCAATTAACTACCAAAAAGCTGGAAATGGAGCCGTGGCTCAAGTGATGGAGCACCAGTCTTAAGCAAAAAGCTCAGGGACAGTGCCCAGGACCTGAGTACAAGGTCCAAGACCAAGAAACACACACAAAGAGGCATGTGTTTTAACTATACTAGGTTGCCATCTTTTCCTTTGAATTCTTATATTACTGGGATCAACTCTTGGCCATTTATTTAAAAAGCAAAAAGATGCTGTTTTTAAAGAAAACTCATGTCTGATGTTCTTAATGTAGAGAAAAGTTGTAGGAAGTGGTACTGTGGCTCAAGTGATAGAGTACTTGCCTTGAGCCGAAAAGCTCAAGGACATTGCCCAGACCCAGAGTTCAAGTTCCAGGACTGAAAAAAAAAAAGTTTCAAAGATAGAGATAGATAGTTCTGACAGCCCAGAGTGAAAAGAGTGAAATATATAGTTTCTTGTAGAGTAATACTAAGTGCCATATGCAGTCAGAAGTGGCTCTTGGTGTGACCCACTTTACTGAGAAATTTACTTTCATTGTCTTTTGTACAATGGTGATTATAATAGTGGATGCCTCAAGGTAATAAGGATAAAATAGATTAATTGTGAAATATTTTACAATTAAGGCTTAGGAAATACTAGCTGCCCTTATTTATGGCTTTTACTCTGTAAATAATTACTGATTATATTGGAAGTGAATAATATAAAATTGCTCTTCTGTCTTAGAGAAATAGTTTCTTTTTTTTTTTTTTTGGGTCCGGTCGTGGGGCCCGAACTCTGGGCCTGGGCCCTGTCCCTCAGCTCTTCAGCTCAAGGCTAGTGCTCTACCACTTGAGCCACAGCGCCACTTCCGGCTTTTTTCTTTTTGTTTATGTGGTGCTGAGGAATCGAACTCAGGGCCTCAGGCATGCAAGGCAAGCGCTCTACCACTGAGCCACCTTCCCAGCCCATAGTTTCTTATTTTTAAATATAATCACAAAAATATATACAGCTTGTTTAAAGTCCATCAGACAATTTTGAAAGGTTTTAGAAGCTAATTTGATCCATTAGCTAACTTAAATGTACTGAATGTCTTAATAGTGGCTTTAGACTTCTCCTACTACATTAGTTAAATCTGTGTTCATGATTGTTCCATTGTTAACTTTTTTATCACAATTTTTTTTCAGATGTGATGATTTAGTTTTATTATTTTTGTTTTGTTTTCTACCTTGTTAAAATTTCCTAACAGAAGAATTCAGGTATCCTAGAGAACACAAGGTTCTTTCTTGCACAGCACTATCTTATGAACCACTTAGCAAATTTAGCCAGATTTTACTTTCTCTTATAAAGCTCAAAAAGTAAGTCAGACATTCTGCTTCTCATTAAGACTTTATGGATTGTGAAACTTCATTAACAAACTTTTTATACTATAGCAAAGTATTTACAGATAAATGAATAAAAACTGTATATGATTTATATGATTTCCTAGGCCATGGCTACCTTCCTTTCCATGTCCTCTTACATCTCAAATATGCTAATGCAGTACAACAAACTTTGTCCCACTAATGAAATATATTTTGAAATATAGCTGTTACTTCATGAACTAGTATAATAGAAAAATGGCAGTGTTTTATATTTTTTACAAATCTCCTTCACACTGATTATCTAGAAGACAACTAAATTTTCATGTTCTATTTCATTTATTCCTTTATTGTATCACATATCTTCTAGCTTCTGGGAAACTCCACTATGTATTCATGGGAAATAAGAGGAGAAAAGATACGTATTATGCAAACAATTTGACCTTGTTAGAACCCCAACCTCAGTAGGAGCACTAAGAGACCTCTAGAATCCCTAGACCACAAGTTGTTAATTTTAAAAAAAATGGTATTCGTCAATAATAGGTGTCAAGTGAGCAATTAATTCATTATATCTTCAGACACTTTGATATAAATCCTATTATAGTTCCTCTTTTACAAGTAAAGAAATTGAAACTTATTAGTTCAAGTCTTAGTCTTATCTAAAGCCTTGTGGCCTTCAAAGGTTGAGACAGTCTTTACTTGAAAAATTGTCTTTATTTGCCCGTGCTATAGCTGACCAGAAGCTCCTGCCTTTCTAGAGATGGCCCTGGGAGACCTTTGTGAAAACAGAGTGTGTTACCTTAATTTTTCTATCTAGAAAAGGGCACTTGCAATTATTTATGGTTTTTCTATAGTATCTACCATTCCAGATTTGTAACTTTTGTTGCTTTAAACAGATTATTATTAAGCAGGATCTAGTTAAAATACTGGATGGCTAAGAGCTGTTCTATTCATTGTTCATAGTTGATAAACATGCCTTTTAGTTTCTCAAGTTTTATGTTTAGGTATTTCAGAGAACATTTTTTCCTCATTATGTACTATAAGGCAAAAATGTTTAGAAATTAATTCTTTATAACTTTGAGGGGTGAGTAAATTTCTAGTGACTCTTTTATCCAAGTAATTTATCAATAACTGTATTTGTCTGTATCCTATGTGGCTATTGGATTTTTATGTTTGAAGATTGTAACATAGGAGGTATCTGCATGAGTGCAGTGAAAAATAAACAGAACTTCAGGAATGTCCTAAGTGTTCTCTTACATTCCTGAAAACTAAAGTTTTATAGACTGTTCCTAATGGTAAAATCCTCACACCTGGTCTGATACAGGCTTAGTCTCCCAAAAGTGTAAATGTGTTTGCCAGTGCACCACTGGAGAACAAATCCTCAGGTAAGTGAGTGTCCTCTGTGAAAGCAAAGTGCTACTGCATTCATGTATTCACATCACATGCATGCATGCTTCCGCAGGGATCCAACATGTTGAGTTCCATTCTGTAGGATTGCCTGAGAGCATGATTTTTTTTCCCAGAGTGTTGTCGCCTTATTTTAAGAAAAAGATAGTAGAATTTTAGGTGTTAGGTATAATATTCGAGGTACATTTGAATCCTAGAAAAGCCCTGGCTGTGACACTGCCATTATTGTTTTGTGGGTACTGTTGTGACATTTCATGGTCAGTTGTCTTTTGTTTGAATTGGTATTTTCCAGTTGAAAAAGTAGAATATATTTTGTTTATTTAGAATACATATATAAAGGCAAACTTAATAAATATAACTTGAATTTTATGGCACAGAGTTGATTATGGTTGTAATTTTTCAATTAATAATAAGAAAAAGTAATATAAACAATCATGACTAAGGTTAAAGTGACAAATATACATATTAATTTTTGTTGCTTATATTTGCTATTTTTTGTGTTTTCCTATTTTTTTAAGGAGTCTTTTGAAATCTGTTGAAGAAGAATTACATCAACGGTAATTTTAGTTTTTGTTAAGCTTAAAATTCTGTATGTCACAGGTTTAAAATCATTTGCCATTTCTCAACCATATATGATTGTTTCATTTGTTTTAATTCTCATTCTATTCCAGAAAGAGAAACACATAAAATTCTGTCCTGTAGTAATCTTCCTGCATCTCTAGAATTGCTCAGTTGTTTGGGTGAAGTCTATTTAATAACAGTGATGTTATCCTTTTTCTTTAGAGGACATGTGGCACATTTAGATGATGAAGAAGGGGAAGATGATGATTCTAAGCAGTAAGTTCTGTTTTCTGTTTTTGTCAAAAAGACTTGAACCCAATTCATAAGTCCCATAAACTTAATGATGATGATTTTAATATGCTAACCCATAGCCCAGCTTCTTATCTCTTTTCTATTTTAGTTGTATTAGTCAAATTGCACTCTGGTAACAAACAAAAGTTTATTTTTATCATTCCAGAGGTTGGGAAATTCTCATTGTAGGTTGCCAGCTGATTTGATTCCTGATAGTAGCAACCTAATAGCTGTGTTATGTGTGTACACAGCAGGAGGCCAAGGGCAATCTTTTCTCAAAAGCCCATCAGTCCTATGGAGGTTTGACCCCTCCCATTATTCTCTCATTTAGCATTACTTACTTCCTGAAAAGCCTTGGGCATTAGAACTTTAACATGCAAATATTGTTGGAGACATAATTCAGTTACTAATATAGACTATTGAACTTAGTCATTTTGAGTGTGCCAGGCAGGCATGCTGTATTACCTGAGCTTTCAGCCCTTTTTGCTTCTATAATTTTTTCAATAGGTCTTACTTTTTGCCTAGACTGACCTGGACTGTGTCCTCCTATTTATGCTTCCCACATAGCTAGGAAGACAAGTGCATGCCAGCACACCTAGTTTTTATTAGTTGAGTCTTAGGAACTTTTTTTTTCCAGGCTGGGTTCTAACTATGATCTTCCCAACCTCAGCTTCCTAAGTAGGATTATAAGTATGAACCATGACAGCTTGGATATTTTTGTTGTTTTTGAGGTAAAGTTTTGCTTTGCAGCTCAATCTGACTTCAAACTCAAGAGCCTCCTGCCTCAACCTTCCCCATACTGGAATTACAACAATGTACTACCACACTTGGCACTAACAAAAAATTTGTAATTGTAATTTAGTCAGTAATTGATAGCTGCCCTAATTATTATTATAACTAGAAAGAATCTTAATGCTTGATTAAATTTCATTTTACATGCTTCAGATAAACAATACTTTGAATATAAATGTATTTTTAAAGGTTTAAATATTTCTTATGTGTGTGTTATGTTAGTTTAGGTTTTAGCAGTTTGAGGAGATTTTTTTTTTTTTTTTGGTCGGTCATAGGCCTTGAACTCTGGGCCTGAGCACTGTCCCTCGGCTCTTCAGCTCAAGGCTAGCACTCTACCACTTGAACTACAGCGCCACTTCCGGTTTTCTGGTGGTTTATTGGAAATAAGAGTTTCACAGACTTTCCTGCCCAGGCTGGCTTTGAACTGTGAACCTCATATCTCAGTCTCCTGAGTAGCTAGGATTACAGGCGTGAGCCACCAGTGCGTGGCATTTTTTTGTTTTTGATTTCAAGGTAAACAGGAGCACCTGAGTAATGCTAGGTCTTAGGTCTTTCCTCCCACCTCATAATTTTATACTGACTCATGTCACTTAACCTATCCTAGATCTCAGTATCCTTATTTAAAAGATTTGTGCTTAATTATCTTTGGAAGATGGAAAGGAAGGGGAAGTGCCTAGTACTACAATTTGAACCCTGGACTTATACTTGCTGGGCAGGTATTCTACCACTTAAACCACACCTCCAGTCCTTAATCATCTTTTAGTTCTTTTTATTTCTAAAACTGATTCATTGGGCACAAGTGGCTCACACTTAAAATCCTAGCTACTTAGAAGCCTAAGATTTAGTCCTGGGTTAAAAAGTTTGTGAGACCCCTCTCCCTCCCTTCTCCCCTCGCCCCCACACACATACATACTTAGGTGTAAGAAGCTAAGCATGTTGGCTCACATCTGCATCCCAACTATGCTGGGAAGCAAAAAGGAGGAGAATCATATTGCAAGTGCTCACATCAGGAAAAAGTGAAGTCCTGTCTCATAAAGGAAAAATGTGGCTCAGAAGTAGTAGGCTTGCCAGACAAACTCGTGGTCCTGCGTTTAAACCCTAGTACCATTTTAAAAAATCATGAGTTGCAGTGGATCTTAGCTTAATTCAAATATTGCCTATATTTCAAAGAACAAAATTCCCTAGCTCCACAAGAAAACAAAAGTCTCAGAAATCATTTCTGATAAGCTTTGTCATATAACTTCATTTCTAACAGTAGCAAAAATGTGTGATTTATTTTTGTTGTAATTATTTTCTCCCAAATCAACTGCTGCTTCTTACTTAGCTTTTAATTGAAATAAATTGGAATTATAGCCATCTTTTCTAGTTCTAATTATATTTTAGTACTTGAAACCAAGAAGGCATTAGACATTGCCTTCCAATGCAATCCAGTTGTTTCTGAATAATTTAATGTAATTTGTACATTTCAGAATTTTGGGAAAAGAACTTATAACTTAGAACATGGTACTTATTTTTGCAGGCTTTTCTTCTATACCATTGCAAAAAGTCTAATCTTTTTGTGATCCTTTTGTGTTTTTAGTTCAACCATGAAATCAAAAGTCCCACCACCTTTACCACCAAAGGTAGACAAATTTCTTTTATTTGAATTCTATGTGAATTATTTTTCTTCCTTGTTAACAGTCTATTACGTATTACTCTAGTTTATTTTTATTGACAATCTACAAATTACAAAACTGATAACTTTAATATAAGAACATTTTGATTATTTTCTTTTTAAAAATACTCATCTTGGCATTACCATTCATTCTGTGTAATAAATTCTAGAAATGTATCCTCTAAGAACAATGACATTACTGGGTTAATGTTACTTCACTTGGATTACAAACTCAAATTCTCTCTCTCTCTCTCTTTCTCTCTCTCTCTCTCTTTTGTAAGTAGTAGGGCTTGAACTCTGTTCTGGGCACTGTACTGTCCCTGAGCTCTTCAGCTCAAGGCTAGCGCTCTACCACTTGAGCCACAGTGCCTCTTCGGTTTTCTGGTGGTTAATTGGAGATAAGAGTCTTGCAGACTTTCTTGTCCTGGCTGGCTTTGAACCCCAATCCTCAGATCTCAGCCTCCTGAGTAGCTAGGATTACAGGTGTGAGCCACCAGCACCCAGCCATCAAATTCTCTTAAGCATTTTTTTTCTTTTTTTTGGGGGGGGGGTCCGGTTGTGGGGCCGGAACTCTGGGCCTGGGCGCTGTCCCTCAGCTCTTAAGCTCAAGGCTAGCGGTCTACCACTTGAGCCACAGCACCACTTCCAGCTTTTTTCTTTTTGCTTATGTGGAATCGAACCCAGGGCCTCATGCATGCAAGGCAAGCCCTCTACCACTGAGCCACCTTCCCAGCCCAGGAATTTTTTTTTCTTAGCCAGACACAGGTGACTCATGCCTCTGATTCTAGCTACAAAAGAGGTTCATATCTAAGGATTGAGATTCAAAGCTACCTTGGAAAGATCATGAGACTCTTACCTCTAATTAACCACCAAAAAAGCTGAAAGTAGAATTGTGGCTCAAGTTATTTGTGGCAGAACTCCAGTTCTGAACAAAAAAGCTAAGGGATAGTGTGCAGGCCCTCAGTTCAAGCTTCAATATTAGCACCACAAAAAAAATTATTTTTTACAATCTACCATTAACTGGTAGTATGGATAAACGATAGTAACTTAGTAATTTATCATCATAGATATCTAATTTTCAGAAGATAATTATAAATACTTTAGGGTTTTATGCATGTATGTGACTATGCCTGGGTGCTATCCCTTATCTTGGATGTATTATTTGGGAAAACTTGTGAGAAACCAGTAAAGAAATTAGAAGTTCTGTTAGAATTATAAATTCCCTTTACCACCCCATTTTGTTTGGTATGTTTTTCTTTTCTTCTTTTTTTTTGGTAGGATAGGGGAACATTTTTAGGATATTTTTTAAATATGTTAAGATAGCCTGAGTGTGATAATTGAGTCAACTTGAAACTGTGATTCTAATACTTATTTCCTAAAAATAATTTCATGTTTAATCATTGGTTGCCTTTCTGTATTACTCCAGCCTAAGTCCATCTTCATACCACAGGAAATTCATTCTACTGAGGATGAAAATCAAGGAACAATCAAGAGATGTCCCTCAGCTGGGAGCCCAGCTAAACCCTCCCAAGTCCCACCTAGGCCACCACCTCCCAGATTACCCCCACAGAAGCCTGTTGCTTTAGGTAATGATGGAGGGTAGTCAGATATGTTGCCCAGTGTTCACACTATATGGAAAAAGTGATAGAAATCTTTCTAGAGATGCTTTGAAATTACTTTGAGGAAGGAGAGAACAGGAACAGTGACTACAGAGGTGTTCTCTGATTTTTGTCTCATGGTTCAAATGCTTTTTTTTAATTGGTCATAGTGATTGAAATCAACTCAAGACATCCTGTTCCTGAACTTTTTCACTAAAGGGTAGCACTCTACCACTTTGAGCCACAGTGCCATTTCTGGCTTTCTGGTGGTTAATTGGAGACTTTTCTGCCCAGGATGGCTTTGAACCTTGATCCTCAATCTTAGCCTCCTAGTAATTAGGATTCTAGGCTTGAGCCACCAGCACCCAGCTAAAAATGCTTTTAATGACAAGATTCCCCACAACCCAATCTTGCTTTTTGTTATTTTATATTAGTCTTCCCTCTTGTGAAGACTGGTTTGTACCAATTCCTATTTAGCTATAGTAGTGTAAAAGCAATAGAAATTAAGCTATGAACAAATGAGAAGCATTTATGTTCTAGGCTATTTCTGTTTAAGAAAAGAAAGAGGATACTTTAACTCTTTATTTCACTTTACCAGTTTTAGCAGAAGGATTATCATTATAAGTATTGCACTCAAATTAGTACTAGAAGGTGCTGTTTGAAACACTGTAAAGTTTCCTCTGTCTTTTCCAAAAGAAAAATTAGAAAAAGAACAGCTAACATTTCTTGGTAGGTATTATTTGTAATATAAATTGTCCCTTTCCTGAAAGTAGTTATGAATTCAGTGTTTAATTTTTATATTTAATGAAAACAATTATATACTTAGAATAACCTGTATTTACAATTTCCTAATATGCTAGAAATAAAGGTTTAAATAGCAAAACGTATATATGTGTACATATATATGTGTGCGAACATATATATATATATGTAATGTGTGTGTGTGTGTGTGTGATTTTTTCAGGACTAAAGATTCTAATTGTTCTCTCAAAGAACATACTGTCAGAATTATTTTTTTCTTTTCTACTTGATAATTGTATTAACAAGAATGAGTAATTTCTCAATATATTTTAATGCATCTTATTGAAGGAAATGGAATGAACTCCTTCCAGTTAAATGGTGAGCGAGATGGATCATTATATCAGCAACAGAATGAACATAGAGGCACAAACTCTTCAAGAAAAGAGAAGAAAGATGTACCAGTAGGTATTGATATTTATAAACTCCTGTTTGCTTTTTTTGTGGCGTTTTTGTTTTGTTTTGTTTTGTGGGGGGATTTTTTTGTCCATCATGGGACTTGAACTCAGCGTGCTCTCCCTGAGCTCTTTTTGCTCAAGGCTAGTGCTCTACCATTTTGAGCCACAGCACCATTTCCAGTTTTTTTGAGTGATTAATTGGAGATAAGAGTCTCATGGGGACTTTACTGCCCAGGCTGGATTCGAACCATGATCCTCAGATCCCAGCCTCCTGACTAGCTAGAATTACAGGCGTGAGCCACTGACACTCCTTGCCCAGCCGTGTCCCCCCCCACCCCCGCTTTTTTTTAACTATTTTATTTTATTTTACCAGTCTTGAGGCTTGAACACTGCACCTATGTATTGTCCCTGAGCTTCTTTTGCCACACCGCCTCTTCTGGCATTTTGGTGGTTATTTAGAAAAGCCTCAGGGACTTTCTTGGGCTGGCTTCAAACCTTAATTCTCAGATCTCAGCCTCCTAAGTAGCTAGGATTACAGGCATGAGCCAATGGCACCCATCTCTTGAAACTATAGCTGTTAATTACTGTATCAATAGTTTACTGTATTAGTTACAATTACTTAAATCTTTAAAAGATGTATTTGCTATGATAGACTTGATTAATAGTTTTTTCTTGTTTAAACTATTTAGATCAATTTAACAATATTCTTTTTATTGTTCACAAAATAACTTACTATTGTTCCTACTAATGGAAAAGTAGTTCTTAAAAGCCTTCTTACTGGCTGGGATATATCTAGTTGTAGTATTCCTGCCTTGCATTCAAGAGGCTCTGGGTTGGATCCCTAACACCACAAAACAAAAAAAAAAGCTCAAGGTGTCAAGGTATATAAATGCATGCATATATATATAGAGAGAGAGAGAGAGATGCATGAATATATACACATATATGTATGTATATGTAGGTATATGTCTGTAAATGTACATATGTGTACATATATATATATATATATATATATATATAATTGGATGGGTAGTGTGGCTCCTGTGTTAGAGCTCTTGAAAAGCTCCAAGTCTGTAATATCACACACACATACAAAATTATGTAATTACCTAAAGAAAGTATGCACAGCAAACTGGTTTAGGAAAGGACATTTTTCAGGTACTAGAAAGTAGGAAGTAGACTTTGGAAGTGTTATAGACTTTAGAAGTATTATAGGAAATAGAAGAATTATCTACATTTTTCTTGTAAGAATAGTATATTCATGTGGTTTATTTAAATAAATACTTGAAATACAGTACATTCATGACCAAAAAAATCACAATCATGTATTTGTTTATTTTTTAGAAGCCTATTAGTAATGGTCTTCCCCCAACACCTAAAGTGCATGTAAGTATTAAATAGCAAATATTTTCAAACTAAGTGTAGTGACAAGTAATTGCTTTGATGTGTATATTTGGTTAGATTTTTTACCTCATTTAAATAATCTGCATTATTATTGAAAAAATCTGTAAGAATGCTAATTTTAATTTTGGTTAATCTATCATATATCTATTCAAAAATAAATTACACACTTTAAAGCTCCTTAATTTCAAAGTTTTGTTAATATTTTATTTGGCTACTATTTTGTAAGAAATGTGGAAAAGCCACAAAAATACTCTAGGAAATACAAAATATAGATAACATTTTCTAACATGTTTTCAGTTATTAAAGACCTACAATTTTGAACTCAAGGAACATCAATGGAATATCAGGCCTCATTTAGACAATTTATAAAACTGAGACCCAAAGATTTTGGCCACTAAGATGACAAAATTCCACTCAACTCTAGCCAGAACTTAGATGTCCTCTATAGTACAATCTGGTATGGTGTTAGTTGTTTGTTTCTAAATTAGATCATGATGTCTTTTTTCTTACTTTCACTTTTTTACTTATATTTAAGAGCTACACATGTATTTTGAGATATATGTGCAGTTTTACATATGCATTACCACATCTAGTTTTGGGGATGTTTTTTGTTTTTGTTTTTGCCAGTCATTGGCTTGAACTGTGGGCATGGGCACTGCCTCTGACCTTCTTTTTGCTCAAGGATAGAGCTCTACCACTTGAGCCGCAGTACCACTTCCAGCTATTTCTGAGTAGCTTATTGGAGATAAGAGCCAGGAAAGCTTTGAACTACAATCCTCAGATCTCAGCCTCCAGAGTAGTAAGAATAAAGCGTAAGCCATCAGTGCTTGGATTGTTTGGTTTTGTCTTTTTAATATCTATAACACTTAAAATCTTCTGTTGTAACCAAATTTTCACTACATTTCATTGTACATTACTTACCATAATGTACAATAGATCTCCTAAATTTATTCTTATCTAAAATTTTGTGTCTTTTGACTGTGGTAGTCAGAAAAATCTCATTGAGTGCATCTCTGTTTACTGCCTTCAATTCTAAAGTGGCTTCTGCAGAGTATACCACGACTATTCCCTATAGTGTTACTGACTACTCACTATTGTGTCTGATAGCTGTAAACTCACTATTCTTACTTGTAATGTTGATGATCTTTAAAAATGTTAGTGTAAGACTTGTTTTATGGTAATATTTTTAACCCTTCACATCATCAACTAGAGCTGGGTTCTCAGCCTGTTACTCTAAATGTGAAAAAAATGTAGCTGCTGAGATGATGCCTAATGCACCTTTATTTTAGGACAGTGACAAATACAGAGGGTCTCCTTGGCCAGATATTTTTGTCTCAAGTTGTCCGTAAGAAATAAGGAGTATTTAATTAAAATGATAATTTTCATAATTAAAAGTTTAATGTAATAAATAGTTCAAATGAATGATACTACGTTTTAATTACCTGAATGATTTTTAAGTGGGCTCAGTACATTAATAGCATGAAAAGTAGAGATTTTTAATGAGTAATATAAACAATCAGATTCTGCATATTTGGAGGTAGAAGCATACCTCTTTCACTTTATACTATGAAACTCAATGATAAATGCCATCTTTTTCATAAAACCAAATAAGAAACATTTCTAACTTCTGTAGAGATTCTTTTCTTGTCAGAATTTTATAATGGTTCTGATAGCAGAAATGTAAGTGGCATTATTATAAGCAAAATATTATGCAGACTTGATTATTGCTACTGCTTTGTTAGTTGAAATGACTAAAATAATAATGCTCATTTTTTTTCCTTCTTTCTCTCAAGTAAGCTTTTTGTTGTATCTGTAAACTTTATGCTACCAAAAAGTTGATAGTAAGGGAGGGGAATAAAAAGTCAAATTAGTGACTGATTTAATATGTTTATTTCTATAAATTTAAAAATGATCTTAATTTCAGTATGGTTTCTGAAATCTCCTTTAATAAACTAGAAAATAATTACATATTTTATATAGTAAGGACCATTGCTTGACACGGTTTCACATTGCTTATTCTTTGTTTTCCTAGATGGGTGCATGTTTTTCAAAGGTTTTTAATGGGTGTCCCTTGAAAATTCACTGTGCATCATCATGGATAAACCCAGATACAAGAGGTAGTACAATGGGTTATTATCTGTTCTCTGTAATTTTTCTTCAACTGGGACTATGAGAACATTTGAACTTGCTCATTTTCTGAATATCTTTCTGGAGGAAAAAAAAAAGTTATTGTTAAATCTTAAGATAAAATTCAAAAAATAACAGTGAAGGATGTTTCTCAGTACTGTCTTCAGTGTTTGCAGAGGTACATGGCATTAGAGTTTCACTATAGTCCCATGTCAACATAATAAACCATGCACATTAAACACCCTTTTGCTAATAGCCCCAAATCAGGCACTTAAGCAGGAATCTGTGTTTTTGTTATACTGTATCTGAATATTTAGTTATCTGTATAGATTAATACAGAGACATAGAAATTTCTTGTGTGTGTGTTAATAAGAACATATACGTAATCCTGTCTAAGCTCCAGGACAGATGCTTTCATTGCAGTTAAGAAATTGATACTCAGATTCATTGTTTCACAGCCAGTTTTCAGTAGACAGCTTCAGTTTAAATCCAGTCCTGTCTGCCCATAAGTCTCTATTAAATACCTATACTCATCTGAAATGCTTGAAAGTTTAATAATTCTCTTGACATTATAAGTTGTTCTCCACATACTTTAGTCTAACATGGAGAAGCTCTTAATATACTGAAAAAGTGTTGACAGGGCCATTGCTAGTCTTCTGTGACCTTCTGTGATAACAACCAACCTAGCAGGGACTAAGTTTTATTTAACTTCTTAACAGGTAATAATGAGATCCTGGGTTTTTATGTGAATGCTAATAATAATAATGATAATAATAATAGCTAGAAAAATTATACTCTATAATTTCTTTTAGTATTTGTGCTAGTACTGGGGCTTGAACTCAGGACCTGGGCACTGACTATGAGCTTTTTTTGCTCACAGCTTGTGTTCTACCACTTGGGCCACAGCTCCCCTTCCAGCTTTTTGGTGGTTAATTATAGGTAAGAGATTCATGCACTTATTTACCAAGGCTGGCTTTGTACCTCGATCCTCAGATCTCAGCCTCCTGAGTAGTTAGAATTACAGGCACAAGCCACCACACCCGGATATAAAAATATATTGAATCCGTATTAGCTGTTCATCATTTATGTTGTGTATGTTAGTTATACAACATTCTCCAGTGATTGCCAGACACCAGTTCCCTCTGGTAAGTGAAAAGTCTGTCATATCTCTCTGTAGAAGCCCCCTTGACGAGGATCTTTTCTTCACTGCTTTGAAGCTAATACTTCCCATGTTACTCAGCTTATGAGTCTAAAATATTCAATTTCAGGGGCTGGGAAGGTGGCTCAGTAGTAGAATGCTTGCCTGGGTTTGATTCCTCAGCACCACGTAAGCAAAAAAAAGCCAGAAGTGGCACTGTGGCTCAAGTAGTAAAGCCCTACCCTCGAGCTGAAGAGCTGAGGGACAGTGCCTTGGCCCAGAGTTCAAGCCCCATGACAGACAAAAAGAATAAAAATAAATAAATAAAATATTTAATCTCTTCTTTACATTAGAAATGTTTGCAGTAGTTTTTCAGTGGTTGTCAAATTTTATGTAATTTTAAAGCATATAAATCCTTTAAGACTTACTGAAATCAGTAATGAAATACTTTGCTACGTAGATCAGTACTTAATATTTGGTGCCGAAGAAGGGATTTATACCCTTAATCTTAATGAACTTCATGAAACGTCAATGGAACAGGTATGTTACTTTGTGTTTTTGTATATTCCTTAATCTTTTTATTTTTAAGTTTCTATATTTCACTTGTACTAACTAGGCTTCTTACTCACAAAACTTTCCTGGAGTATGATCTGTTTACCACATTCACAGGACTAGTTTTCACCCTTGAGAAGCTCATGTTCTGGGGAAAACAGATAATGCAATGACAATAGTGCTGAGTAACAACAGTGCTCAGGGTTAGGTGTCATGCTAAAAATGAGTTAGATGTCACCTCTTGTGAGGAGATAAAAGAGAGGTGTTTAAGATAGAACTTAAATGACAATCAGAAAAATAGGACAGATGAGTGAGCCTTATAAAATAGCATGTCCAGTGTGAAGAGCAATGAATGATTGGACAATTTGACTGGAGCCTAGAGCTGTAACAACAGATAGAGCTGGGTAGGATAGGTAGGAAATACCAATCCCAGAGCTCTGTGTATCATGTTAATGATCATAGTTCTGTTTTAAAAAGATCTATAAGCAAATGGATGAGACTAGAGACTGTGGCCAGTAGGCAAAGAAGTGTTAAGTGTGGTCAGAAATAGAGAAGAACCGGTAGGGTTTGGAATAATTGTATTGAGGACATTTTTGATCATCATAATCCAGAGGGAACTTTTCACATTTAGTACCAGGAGCCTAAAACTCAAGACAACCTGCAGAAATGTTAATGATGAGGATATTAATAATTATATAAACCTTACTATTTGTTAGGCAGTTATTTTCTTTCTTTAAAGCATATTGATGTCCTTTTCTTTGGCCTGAATACTAACCACTTTCAGCTTTCCAGAGGTGCTTCCCAGTTCTAACATGCTAATTTCACTAATGAATTCTGTCTTTGCATGTGTATGTATCCTTTATTGTCAATGAGTTACCATATTTTCTCAGCTTTTTTCTCTCCTCCTTCCTTAAGTTTTTCTATCCTGTGTTCCACAACACCACAATACTTTTTCTGTATCTTCCATGTATGCACATGTACCTAGATAAATATATTGTAGAGGGAATACACAGAAGAGTCAACCCCAAAACCAAAACAAATGAATACATGTTTTTGGAAATTTTCTTCATAGTTTGGGGTTAGATGGTCTTCACTATAAGAGCAACTTGAACTAATCCTACAATGTTTTAGAATGAAATTATATTGCCATTTTTTCCTTTCACATAAATATTATATGTATTACCTTGTTTAAAATATGTCACAAAATGTATTTCTATTACAGTAAGTTGTTTTCTAAAGAATTGGCCCACTGATAAGACAACTTACATGACTAATGTGTATATATTTACATCACTGTGATGTATTAATCCTTTAAACTTTGGGTATTTTTTTAACCAGCTATTCCCTCGAAGATGTACATGGTTGTATGTAATGAACAACTGCTTGCTATCAATATCTGGTAAGTCTTCTAGTTTTTTTATATTAATAGTTGATATTACTTGTTATTAGCTCTTATATTATTTATTTTCTTACAGGCAAAGCTTCGCAGCTTTATTCTCATAATTTGCCTGGGCTATTTGATTATGCAAGACAAATGCAAAAGTTGCCTGTTGCTATTCCAGCACACAAACTCCCTGACAGAATACTGCCAAGGTAACTCTGCATTTAGTTCTGCTTTCATACTTAGAGATAATTCATTATAATACCTATAGCTAGGAGAAGTGAAAGAGCATGTTGTTTAGTATAATAGAAATCATGTATAATGAAAAGCATAAGTAATTTATTTTAGCAAGGATTTACCATATTCTTGTTCTAAAATTATTCTACTTTATACTTTCCAATTACATTAAACATTTTCTCTCTGAATTTTTAAATTATCTTTTCCTTATAGAGCTATTTTTTCCTGTAATTTTACATTTTCTATAATGCCCTTGTTCTTAACATTCATTTGTTAATTTGAATAAAATGAATTTAAGTACAATTTCTAAGGCTAGAAAATTGAATGATTTATTGAATGAATTTTTTGCATTTGGAGATAATTACTTAGAAGTTAAAAGAGTTTTGCTTTTGTATTTTTTGGCATTTTAATTATGCTCTTTTGTTTATTATAATACTGATCCTCTTGTTTTCTAAAGGTCTACTGAGTCATAAATAAAATTTAAATTGTATTGTGCAAAATATTATGAGACAACCGTTCTTCCTTTACAAATTAGTTGTAAATGATGTAATCCTTTGCTTTCAAGTACCATGAGAATCTGTTCTCAATTACTGAGCTTGCAGTATAGCTAATATTTGTCTGTTTGTACACAAAAATTTTTGTTTTGTTTTTAATTTTTATTGTAAAGATGATGTACAAAGAGGTTACAATTACATAAGTCAGGTAATGAGTACATTTCTTTTTGAACAGTATCACACCCTCCCTCATTCTCTCCCAGTTTTCCCCCAACCCCCCTGCCTCCCAAGTTGTATAGTACATTTCCAACATAGTGTAGTATCACTGATATTTTAGTTCACCCTTAGTCCCACTATAAAAAACTTTTTGAAAAGTAACCTTTTATTAAATCATTCAAAACTGTATGCTATTTTAAAGTAGATTATATCAAACTTAATTGGACATTTTATGATTACTATGAGCTGTAATTACAAACTTTATTATATGTTGTTATATAATAGCTGAATTTGGAGTTAAGGGTGTTGTGCCAGATCATCTGTCCTTATTTTTCTCCCAGCTATACTTTGTACTGCTGTTTGTCTGCCTTATCTATCCAACTTCTGTATCAAACTTTCTAATTTGATAATCCAAAATCCTTAGATCACAAAAAACACACACCAAGCTTTGAAATATAAATGAGTGTCTACAAGAAGTATGAGACATAAACTTGAATGCAAATAGAGACTCTTTTTATGTAAAAAAAGGGAAAACAAAACATTTTGCATGCATATGCTTTTATTTTTAGCTATCTTTAGTTTTTCCAAAGTTTACATAATACACAAAATGCATATGAAGTGTCCTTTATACAGAAGGGGCAGAGCTTAATAAGATACTGCCTTTTCCTTAAATAATTTCCATATAGTAGGATTTTCCCCTGTATGGGTACTCACCTTTCACATATTTAAGAGATTATGTTATAGCTGATAGTATTTGTAATGCCCACAAATAACTCATTCTAAAGTTTCATTATCAAGTAACTAGTTACTACAAAATTTATTTTTTTATTTTTATTTTTTTGGTTGTGGGGCTTGAACTCTGGGCTTAGGCTCTGTCTGTGAGTTCTTCAGCCCAAGGTGAGCGCTCTACCATTTGAGCCACAGTGCCACTTTCACAAAAGATATTTTTGTTTGTTTTGCAGTACTGGACATTGAATTTGCTTCTACTTATTAGCCAAGTGCTGTACTATTTGAGCCGTGTCCCTTCTGGTTTTTAGTTTATTTTTCAAATAGGATCTCTGGTAAATTTTTGCCTATTCTGGCCTTAAACAACAATTTTCCTATCTCTATCTTCCAAATAGCTGGGATAACAGACATAAAATCTCTTAGTCATAAACTCTCCTAATTCTGTCATGAAGTGGCAGGAAATCTAAAAACACCTTAGCCTGATAATACTGTGTATGTATTGTTATCATTCCTTCACCCATACCTGGAGCCTACCTTAAGCTTCTGTAGATTGAAGATCTCCTCCTAGTTCTGAAGACAGAGAATCTCATGGTAGTCATTCTGAAAACAGGTACTCATTGTACTCAATTATAACACTTCTGTAGCAAAGCATACGCTTTGAAATCTTAAGTTAATTTTAATTTAAAATTATATAAATACTTTGAGGAAATTAATCTATTAAATGCTATCAGAATTCTTACCATGTAGGGTTTTTTGAAATTATATATGTAAAGTACCTATCTGGTATGTAGCACCTAGTAGGCTATTACAAAATTGAACCAGTTGTCACCAGTAATGGACATAGTAAATTGATCTATGCCTATAATGTATTTAAAATACCCTACATTAAATATAATGCTCTTTAGCTCAAGACTAGTACTCTACCACTTGAGCTACAGCACCACTTCCAGTTTTCTGGTGGTTTATTTGGAGATAAGAATCTCATGGACTTTCCTTCCTAGGCTGGCTTTGAACTGTGATCCTCACATCTCAGCCTCCTGAGTAGCTAGGATTATAGGCATGAGCCTATAATCCTAAGCCATAGTTACTAGTTGATTTTTCTGATCCATACAGTATTTTTCCTATGGTCCTTAAGACCCTGTCAGTCAATTAAGCCCCTCAGGTTTTGACAAGGCCAGTAACTTACACTGTAAGTTAGCCTGGTGTGGTGCAACCCTATAATTATAGCACTTGGGAGACAAAGGCAGAAAGGATCTTGAGTTTGAAGCCAGCTTGGACTGTATAACAAGGCTTGTGTGTGTGTGTGTGTGTATGTCTGGTACTGGGGCTTGAACTCAAGACCTTAAGTTTGCTCACCTTTCTTGCATTGCAGCTGGTGTTCTACCATTTAAACTATGCATCTAGCCAACTTTTTGTTAGTTATTTTTGGAAAGAGTCTTGTGGGCTTTTCTGCTCAAGATGGCTTTGAACATTGATCCTCCAGGTCTCAGCCTCCTGAGTTGCTAAGATGGTAGGAGTGAACACTGGTGCAAAAGAAAAAGCTGTAAGTTAGGTTCAGGAGTTAAGAGAAAAGTTCACAAGTTGAATCCTGTTGCCAGTAGAAATCTAAGAGGAGCTACTTTCCAATACTTAAAATTCTGAAACATACTTTGGTCAAGGTCCTTTGGTTAAGCTGTGGGGACATTTTCTTAATTAAAACTATAATTTATAGAAATTCACAGCTTTTCTTTATGTATGGTTAATAAAAGAGAAAAATAAAGTGTTTTAATCAGAATTATTATTGCTACTTAGGACACAGCATCTGAGTAATTTTGTACCCTTATTTATGTATCATAGTACCAAGAAAACTAGTTCTCGCAGACAGCACTTAGAAATGCTAACAATTAAGCCGGGCGCCGGTGGCTCACGCCTGTAATCCTAGCTACTCAGGAGGCTGAGATCTGAGGATCGCGGTTCAAAGCCAGCCCGGGCAGGAAAGACTGTGAGACTCCTATCTCCAATTAACCACCAGAAAACCGGAAGTGGCGCTGTAGCTCAAGTGGTAGAGTGCTCGCCTTGAGCTGAAGAGCTGAGGGACAGCACCCAGGCCCAGAGTTCAAGCCCCACGACCGACAAAAAAAAAGAAATGCTAACAATTTTCTAGCAATTTACTTTGCAAACTCAGAATAGTCATTATTTAAATTAACCTAAAAAGGAAGAAAGTAGATTTTTTTTCAAAGTTGAATTGCTGAACAGTAAATAGCCTGAACAGTGGACAGACTGGGATAGACTGACACACTAGAATAGCAGACTTTGCTCTCTAAATTACATAGTATAAGGACTTAAGCATCAATCTTAGCGTCATGGAAGGCATGACTTACCGCTCAGAACTCTTGGACATGTTTAGTGACACAGAACTATAAAGTGCGTAGCACTTACTAAGGACTCAGTATGATTATTACAGACTTTTATAAATATAAAATTGCCATTGCTAAAAATATACCAAATGTTAAAATTCTAGCACCACAATGTTATATGTGCTTGGTTATTATTTTGTTCTACAGTGACAAGAACATCCATCCAGATGTTCTTCTAAACTTATTTGGAACTAAACTGAGTGTCACATGCATGCTGTACAATACAATTTTATATAGAATTGTTCAATTATGATCTTAAACAGTACAAAGAATCAAATCTAATATTTGGTACTTTTTTATAATGAAAAGAAATTTAAGTATGTATATGGCAATAAAAAAGCTTGATTTGAATTTTACAGAACAAGTAGTCTTCATTATGTTCATTTCATTATAAATGACATTGGGACAGCGTTTTTAGGTTCGTTTATTTTTTGCTGCCAGTCCTGGGGCTTGAATTCAGGGCCTGGATACTATTGCTGAGCTTCTTGTGCTCAAGGCTAGTTCTCTACCACTTGAGCCACAGCTATACTTCTGACTTTTTTTGGTGCTTAATTGGAGGTGAGAGTCTCACCTGTCTCGGCTGGCTTCAAACTGTGATCTAAGATTTCAGCCTCCTGAGGAGCTAGGATTACAAGTGTGAGCCACCAGTGTCCAGCAAAGTATAGTTTTTAAAAACAATTTTAAATGAGTATCTGTTAAATTTTAATGGTGTTGAAAATGAACTACTGGGGGCTGGGAAGGTGGCTCAGTGGTAGAGTGTTTGCCTTGCATGCATGCATGATTCCTTATTACCACATAAGCAGAAAAAGCTGGAAGTGGCGCTGTGGCTCAAGCAGGAAAGCACTAGCCTTGAGCTGAAGAGCTGAAGGACAGCACCCAGGCCTAGAGTTCAGGCCCAACGACTGACAAAAAAAGGAAAAAAAATGAACTACTGTATACAACTTGTGGGGGGTAGGGAGGGGAAAACTATAGGAGAGAATGAGGAGTGACACTATTCAAAAAGAAATGTATTCATTGCCTGACTTACATAACTATAACTCATCTGTACATCACCTTTATAATAGCAATTTTAAAAACTTAAATGGATGTTTATAGATCCAAGCATGTGGAAAATTTACAGGCCTATTTTGAGTCCTTTAACACACAAATATACTACACATTTTCTATTAATTTTTATATTTATTAATACTATTTATGTACTAATGAAAATCCCTGAACTATTCTACATTCCCATTCACTCACCTTCTACTCATGTCCACCTTACTTCCTAACCCTTCCTAGTCCCTCCTAATACTCTTCTGTCATCCTTGGTTTCTTTGTTTTTATATATGACCAGAAACATGCAATACTTGTCATTCATGCAGTATAAATTTATTAGAGTGCTAAAAATACCTTCTGCCAAGTTTTTACTTACCTTCACTTTTTCGGTGGTGTCTTTTGGTGAACCAAAATTACAGACTGAACTAATTGAACTCCACTAGAGATGCACCAGATGAGGGGAGGGAATAAAACTAATTAGTTAAAGCTAATTATATTTCTGGCTTATTTTTGCATTTAAAAAGAGACCTATGGTTATGGTATTCTGTATTCTAAATACTTTGTAGGTTTTTTAACTATTTAAATCCTTAATCTATTTGAAATTGATTGGGGATATGAGAAAATGATCCAGTATAATCTTATTTTTAATATATGTGACTTATCAGCATCAAATTTTAACTCACCCTTTCGCTGCTGATTGGCAACAACACCTGTGTCATATACTGTTTGCCTACATTTGTTAAATACTCTTTTTCATTCACATTTAGGAAATTTGCTGTTTCAGCAAAAATCCCCGAAACCAAGTGGTGTCAGAAGTGTTGTGTTGGTAAGTAAACGTGCAGTGCCAAGTAGCTCTCCTATTTTGTAGAGTGACTGAAGAAACCCGGTGATGCTCATTTTAAGCTTCATAGAGTTTTTAAACTGTATGCTTGAAGACATTCTGCCAGGGCTAGTTTCTTTTCCCCTTAAGTAAAACACATTTCTTGAGCACTGCATCCCTACATAGAGTAAGCCTGATATAGCACCTTGCACATAGCCGGTGTTTAGAAAGTAATTTGTTGACTGGCTAAATGGAGAAAGTAATGTGCTTTTTAAAATTTTAGCACTTTATCACATTGTATTCTAAAAGTGGCTGGCTCTTACTTTTGACTGTGCTTAGTAATGCTGTGACACTGCATTCATTCATCAGGTACCCCTTCCTTTAGTGTGTGAAACCTCGTGATTGTACTATAATGGTGATCATCTACCTGTGCACATGCCCTTAGACTAAATTGCTTTCCTCTAGTGTTTCTGTTTTCATGTAACAAAAACAAAAAATAGTTTCCTTCCTTTAAGTTGCTAGTGTTGTAAAAGGAAGCAAGTATATTGTTACTATACCAGCAGATCGAATGTGCAAAGAACTCTTAACATAGGATAACTGAAGATGGCATTTGGGCTAGGTCTCCAAAGAATTTATGAATGGATGGAGGGGATTTCCAACAAAGAAATGACATGAGCATGTGAAATAAAAAAACATAAAGTAAATAAATACCTGCTGAATATTACGGTGTAGCTGGGTAAGGTTGTACAAAGATTGGTAGATTTGTGTGAGCTATTAGACTGTGACATGAACTTTATTCACTGCACAGCAAGGAAGGACCAGAGCTTTAGTAGTATCAACAGGAAGAGAAAGGAAGGGGACAATGGGAGAAACAACTGAAACCTTGAACCCAGAATGGCTATATGACATTCATGGGAAGTAAGAACTGCTGCTTTGGGACAAAGGGGGATGACCACATTGAATGTAGACACAGTGATTTGGGCAACGGCTAAGAAACATCTACCTGTCTGAGATGGCTCTGCATGAAGAGAGGAACCTTAATCTCCTGTGTTGATTTTTTTTTTTGCGGGGGGAAGGGATGTACTAGGTAATTTTGCTGTTCCCTGTCTCTTTTCCCTATACTATTCAAACCTATGTGAAGTTTACTGCTGCTAACCTTTTCCACAGTCTCATTTTCATTTCAACTATATTTACTTTACATCTTAAGCGTGAGAAAAACCTAAACTCTGAGGTGATTGAATTTTATTACTTATGTATTTTTTTATTATAGAATTCTGTTAAGATCTGTAATATTTTCAAAGTGACCAGAGAAGTTTAATAAAGGAGGAGGGAAGCATAGACAAATATCTTAGACCCAGAGCATTATTGCTTCTGAGTATTCCTGCCTGCCTCCTGTAAAATACCTGAATGTGTCCTGTCAGTTTGTCAGTTCACTCTGACCCCTTTCTTCAGAGTGGTGCATCCTCAGCTAACTGCCCTGCTATGGTGAGCCTAGTCCTTCCTGACCCTCAGCTATAGAGCAAAAGCAGGCTCATGGTGCACACAATAAAATTGCTTTAAGTGATGATAGTGCTTCTTTTTACCCTTCTAGCTAATTAAAGTTGAAATAACAATCTCCTTTCTTTTCTTTTTTTGAACATGCAGCTGTTACTGTGGAGGAGAACTCATGTTTACTTTTTTGCCTTGACAGTGAGAAATCCTTACACAGGCCATAAATACCTATGTGGGGCACTTCAGACGAGCATTGTTCTGTTAGAGTGGGTTGAACCAATGCAGAAATTTATGTTAATTAAGGTAAGCAGGAAAATCAGCCTTAGTGTACAAACTTGTCAGCTTTTCTGTTCGTTAGAAGAAAACGTGCTTTCAGTTGATTTTCAAGATAATTTAATGATTTGAAATTCTGTGGCAGTCTGGTGAAAAGTCTACTCATATGTTATAAACTCAGTTCATCCAGCAAAGTTTAGAGAAACTAGAGAAATATTTCAAGGGTATATCAGTAAGGACCTGGAATCCTAATACCAAAAAAGAGTGTGTTGGAAATATCTTCTCTGCTTTGACCTGGTCTATCAAAGCAGAGCAACAATCTATAGATTAGTGCCTCAAAGGATAACCAGTGAGGAAGAGGAAATGATTTGTTTGGAGGACACACATACACACACACACACACACACACACGCTAACAACATACACACACACATACACACACATACGCTAACTTTGCCCAACACACACACACACATACGCTAACTTTGCCCAACACACACACACACACACACCTTTGCCCAGTTCTTCCTATGGATATTTTTGGGTTAGAGGCTTTTTGTTTTAGTTTCTTTATAAACTTTAAAGATAACCTTTTAAAATGTATGAAGTACCAGCTTAAGTACATCAAGGAAATAAGAGATGAATTTTAGGTCTGACTTCTTTGCTGTGTATTATGTGGGTTACATGTTCTTATTTTATGAGCATTTGATCCCTCTGTAGAAATTGAAGTCAAACTATACTAAACTTTGTAACATTGAGCTAGTATGTTTAAAGTATTGACTTCTGTTACTTAAAAATCTTCAAGTTTTCATATTAATATTAACCTCAGACTGAACTGAAACTAGAGATGAAAGGTTTCAAAAACTTGAAACATGGAGGTAATAATTTCACCAATAAATTCACTGAGACAAATTCTTTTTTTTTAACTCCAATTTCCTTCAATTAAACTCATAGCTTCCCAGACAATAAAGATGATGTTCAGTGTATAAAACTCCAGAATATTAGTATTTGATGATCAGTGTATTGAAATTAGTGGAATTTACAAAAATTCTTACATGTAAATGTAAGCAGAAATAGTGTGCAGTTGAGCTCTAGTCATCATCAGTCTGAGTCATATTTCTTTCCTTGGATAGTTTTCTTTTCCAACTTTGTGAAGTTTGTCCCAAATTTCTTTTGGCTTTGAAATGGTGGCTCCATTAAATTTCCACTGTAATTAAGAATATCAGAACAGTGGCTCTGTGGTTCAAGTGGTAGAACGCTTGCCTTGAGCTGAAGAGTTCAAGGACAGCACACAGACCCAGAGTTCAAGCCCCACGACCGAGAAAAAAAGAGTATATCAGAACAGTCAAGCCTCCATTCTAAATTTTCTGTGGTGAAGTCATCTGTATTTCCTAGGTCAGTAAATCCAACTACATAATCTTGTGTCTTCCCGTCTTTTGCCAGTGCTAGTGTGGGAATGACTTTGATATGCAATTTCACAAAGGAAAGGTGCTTTTTCTACATTCAGCTTCAAAAATTTGGTTTCAAGATGTTTCTTAGAAAGTATCACCAAAGGGACTGGGAAGGTGGCTCAGTGGTAGAGCGCTTGCCTTGCATGCATGAGGCCCTGGGTTCAATTCCTCAGCACCACATAAGCAAAAAGAAAAAAGCCGGAAGTGGTGCTATGGCTCAAGTGGTAGAGTGCTAGCCTTGAGCTGAAGAGCTGAGGGACAGTGCCCAGGCCCAGAGTTCAGGCCCCACTACTGGACCCAAAAAAAAAGAAAGAAAAGAAAAAAAGAAAGTATCACCTGAAGAGCTGAGGGACAGTGCCCAGGCCCAGAGTTCAGGCCCCACTACTGGACCCAAAAAAAAAAAAAAGAAAGAAAAGAAAAGAAAAAAAGAAAGTATCACCAAATGTCTGTCTAGTATTTTGTAACTGAATGTAGAGTCTCTGTAGAAATGGCAAACTTTTTTTTACTCTCAGACTTCTTGAAAAAAGTCTCTCTGACTAGGGATTTCTCTGTATTCACCATGTCCTTTAGAAAGTCATTCTTGTTTCTGATGTTGAGCTTTCCTTAGTGCCACAAGTCTCTTTTCTTTGAAGCACTCCAGTTCATCTTCATCCATCTGATCCAGTTTCTTAATTTCAGAATCCAAATGATCTAGCACTTTGGTAGTTTGAAGCAACTGGTTTTCCAGGACTTTTGAAACATGTCGACAGATGCATCACCTTCCATTCTTATGGTACTGGTCAGCTTTGGTACTGAGTTGTAGGTATCCAGGGAGTGAGGGGGCAGCAGCTCAAGAGGCTGAGACAAATTCTTTAAACGGAAAGCTAAAGGGAAAATAGCTTTACGCGTTTTCTGTTGCAGAGCTAGTAAATGCAGCCTATATGTGACAAAAGAGTTTTATTCTCAGCGCCTCTTGGTTCTTGCTTATTTGACAAAAGGATACCTTGCCCTAAATGAGAAGTGGTAAAATCTATGGAGTTTAGTCTTTCTACCTGCCTGCCCTCTCTTCTTCCTTTCTTTTTTTTTAAATCTACTTTAGTTGGGTCCTGATTTCTTTCATTCCTAACTCCTATAAAATGTAAAACAATTTTATATCAGTTATTCACGTATACTGATTGACTGATTAAGCTTTAGTGATAATGACTACATGTCATCTGATAAGTTAAATCATTTCTCCTCATCTGTAAGGAAAGGCTCCTTCTCTATTAAAGGAATTTAAATGCCAAGAGCATGAATAAGGGAATATAGACTTTGACATAGAAAGCTTAATAATTAACCTACCCATAGCTATTTATTTATTTGGTGGTACTGGAGTTTGAACTCAGATCCTAATGCCTTCAAAGCAGTTGTAATACTACTTGAACCACACACATCCCCATCCCCTTTTTGTTTCAATTACTTTTTGAACAGGGCCTCATATTTTTTGCTGGGGACAGGTCTGGGTCTCCTGCAAGACCTCTCTTTAAATTCACTAAGTTATAAGCCCCTATTACTTTCATCTCCCTTTCTGTATCTCTCCACTTCAAGATTTCTGTTGTTGTGGGGCTTGAACTCAGGGCCTTGGAGCTGTCCCTGAGCTTTTTCACTCAAGGCTATCACTTTGAGCCACTGCACCACTTGGAATTTTCTGGTGTTTAATTAGAGATAAGAGTCTCATGGACTTTTTGGCCCAGGCAGCTTCAAGCCAAGCCACGATCCTCAGCTCTCAGCTTCCTAAGTAACTAGGATTACAGGCATGAGCCACCAGTGGCCCAACCAGCTTCAAGATTATCTATCTATCTATCAATCGATCGATCGATCGATCTATCTATCCTTTGTTTCTATATTTGATACTGTTTCATTTATATTCATTGTGATCTATGACCCAGTCATACTAAGCATTCTCTTTTTGGCAGTACTGGGCTTTGAACTCAGGGTCAAAACATTCTTGGACTTTCTGCATTCTTCCTCTTAGTGACATTTCTGACAACTTTTGCTTTAGATGCTACCTTTTTATCTTAAATATCAGGTAGAAATTAAAGGTCTTCCCAGGAGTCATCTATATACTATCAACTAAATACAATGCTATTTGTTAGAGAGGGGGAAAAGAAAGAGTAAGCTGTAAGGACTGGTCTTGATACCAAAGAGCACTGGATTTATTCCATGAAAAAGGAGAACTGCTTAGTTATTATTTGAGGCTGAATTCTAGGAGTAGCTTGCTTAAATGCTGAGAAAGAGCCAGAAGTGTTTTCAAAGGAAGTCTTGAAATTGTTTCACCTACTTAGAAACATGATCAATGCCTAAATGGAAAGCTCCTAGAGGTACAGGAGGTGTATTGGTGGGGTGTCTGCCCAGGAGAGTGTGGGCATGAGACAGCGAGTGCACACAGAGCTGTGCTTCACAGCTACACAAGAGCCATGTCAGACTAGTCCTGATAGCCCATCTCACTTTACTTTTTCTTTCTTTAAAATGTATGAGTTGCCAGCACAAAAGTAAATCATATTCAGTAGCTTTGTTTAATTTTAGCAATACTATTTGGAAAATACAGAGAAAATGCAACCCAGTTACAAAATGTTAGAATGGGCGTAACCAAATACATATATGGGACTGATTTTTTTTTTTCAGTACTATGGTTTGAACTCAGGGCCTTGAATTTGCTTAACTTGCTCAGCTCTTTACCACTTGAGCCATGCATTTAGCCAAGATCAGTTTTCAACTATGCTGTTAAAAACAAAAAAACAACACTTCCTCAGATTTCCTTGACACGTTTCCAGTCAGCTCCCATTTTTTCTCCAAGGAAACTAGAAAATCCTTGTTCTTTTTACTATATATACATAATATCCCTAGACATTAAAATTGATTTTATCTGATTTTCAACAGCATAAAAGTAGAATCAGAAAGCATATACACATTTGTTTCTAGTGTCTTTTGTGAAGTATTTTATTTATGTAGTCGTTGAACATAGCTAAAAAAAAACTAGCTATTTTCATTAATTTCCCATGTGTGAGTATCTATTCACTGTTGGTAAGCATTTGCTATATTTTCAGTTTTGTATTATTCTAAACAGCACAACTATAAGGTTTTTTTGCATATGTCTTTCATGCATGTGTATCTGTGTTCTCTAGAATATAAACCTAGGAATAGTGTTGTTGGGCCACAGGAATACATAGCTTCAATATTAATAAGCAGTATAATCAGTTGGTTTTTACCAGCTTAAAGCCGTACAGTCAGTGTGTCAGCATTCATTCACTCTTCTCTGATGCATGTTTCCATCATTCTTTTTCATTTTAGCCCTTCTGGCAGGAATGTATTACAATAATTATAGCTTTATTGTTTGATTACTAGAGTTAGTGTTTTGTATTTATTTTTCCTACTCTAAAATAAAATTATTCCTAACTTATATAAAATTTAAATTGGTTTTGTTATTACTATTAGTTAATTGAATAGAAGTCACTAGGGATGAAAAGTAAATTTATTTTGCCTATGGCATTTTCCATTGGTTATAAAAGGATATCTTGTGACAGCATTTCCCACCTCTTTCCCTATGTTTGCTAAACTAGTAAGGAAAGCAGGCTAGTAATTTAAGGAAGCACCAAAATAGGAGATAGAAACAGGAGACTAGGATATCTGTGTTCCCCTCTACTCTAAGTTACTCAGACTATGGAATTCTAACTTAAAACATTTTTACAGTAATAAGCCTAAAATCTTTATGGAGATATTCTGTAGTACAAACTTGTCTGCATACTCTGAGCTTCTGTGACAAGAAGTCATATTTATAATACACAGATATTTAATACATTCTTGTAAAACTTAACTTTTTAAGTTTGTTCTCATAAGATTATGGCTTTTGTTTTCCTTTATTTAATGCATTTCTGTTTCTTTCTCTAGCACATAGACTTTCCTATACCGTGTCCACTCAGAATGTTTGAGATGCTGGTTGTTCCTGAGCAGGAGTACCCTTTAGTCTGTGTTGGAGTCGGTAGAGGGAAAGATTTTAACCAAGTGGTCCGATTTGAGACCGTCAACCCAAATTCTACCTCTTCATGGTTTACTGAGTCAGGTTTGTGATTTTTATGGAATTATTAAGGCCAGTACATATGCTGGTTTTGTAAGTAACAAATTTACTGTATTTCTCAGTAAGCAGTAATTGCATAGAAAGCCAGTCTTGAATAACTACAATAGAAGAATGGAAGAACAGGTGACTTCTTTAAAGAACTAATTCATTTGACACATTTAAAAAAATTTTATGGACAAATCATGTGCATTCAAAGTTCATATACTTGGTGTGTGTGTGCGTGCGTGTGTGTGTGTGTGTGTGTGTGTGTGTGTGTGTGTGTGTCCGTCCATCCATCCATCCATCCCTCCCTCCCCTAGAGCTTGAACTCAGAATCTGGACACTGTCCCTTAGCTTTTGTGCTCAAAAGCATTCTACCACTTTGGGCCACAACTCCATTTCTGGCTTTTTGCTAGTTAATTGGAGGTAAAGAGTCTCAAGGATTTTTCCTGCCTGGGCTAGCTTTAAACCGTCCTCCAGTCTTAGCCAAAAAAGTTGGAAGTATAGCTCTAGCTCAGGTGGTAGAGCTGTACCTTGAGCAAAAGTAACTCATGGACAGTGCCCAGGTCCTGAATCCAAGCCCCAGCACTGACAAAAACAAAACAAAACAATATCAACAATTAATGCCTCTTTGTATTTCGGGAGCATTCAACTCTCTCAAAATGCTTTCATATTTTTAGTTTATCTGTGTTGAAAATAATTTTATTCTCTGATTCTTTCATTCAGTATGTATTTATTGTGTGTGCTAGACATCTGCATATACTATGTACAAAGCCCAGTCTAGCCCTTTTGATAGTCCTGAGTTTAAAATTTTGCATCAGTCATAACCATAATTTAAAAGATTAGATTTCTACATATAAACAAAAATACTGCCATTTCACGTTAAGCATGCTGGTACATCTCTAATCTCAGTTACTTAAGAAGCAGAGATAAGATCACAATTAAAGGCCAGCCCAGGGGCTGGGAAGGTGGCTCAGTGGTAGAGCGCTTGCCTTGTATGCCTGAGGCCCTGGGTTCGATTCCTCAGCACCACATAAGCAAAAAGAAAAAAGCCAGAAGTGGTGCTGTGGCTCAAGTGGTAGAGCGTTAGCCTTGATGAAGAGCTGAGGGACAGCGCCCAGGCCCAGAGTTCAGGCCCCACGACCGGACCAAAAAAAAAAAAAGAAAAAAAGAAATAAATAAAGGCCAGCCCAGAAAAAGTTATTGAGAAGACAATAGTTATTGAGAAGTTATTGAAAATCAAACAGAAAGACAAAGGACAGTTAGGGCTTAAGTGGTAAAGAGTGCTTATCTAACAAATACAAGGTCCTATATGCAGGACTACAATAAAATGATGCTGCTGCTGCTATGATTAGTGACAGTGATGGGAACAAACATTTTACACTTTATTGTGTTGAATGTTTGCTTCAACATTATAGGACCCAAGTAGCCTGGTTCAACCACTAGACATGTTTTGCAAACCATATATATATTTCCATTCCAAGTACAGGGACCTTGGAATTCTTTTCTTTTTTTCATGTCTCTTTTGTTGTTGATACTACAGTAATTAAGTTTATTGCGCTTTCTTTGTTATAGATACCCCACAGACAAATGTTACTCATGTCACCCAACTGGAGAGAGATACCATCCTCGTATGTCTGGACTGTAAGGTTTTATCTGTAGATATCTTATTTTATTAAGATTGCTTGTATCTTAGCTTCTGAGTGACTTATTTTTTTTCTAGGTTGTATAAAAATAGTAAATCTCCAAGGAAGATTAAAATCTAGCCGAAAATTGTCATCAGAACTCACCTTTGACTTCCAGATTGAATCAATAGGTAAGTCAAAGTTTAGTAATTCTTTGCATTATGAACTGCTTAAAAGAATTTTACCTTAGCCGGGCGCTGGTGGCTCACGCCTGTAATCCTAGCTACTCAGCTGAGATCTGAGGATCTCCGTTCAAAGCCAGCTCGGGCAAGAGAGACCGTGAGACTCCTATCTCCAATAAACTACCAGAAAATGGGAAGTGGCGCTGTAGCTCAAGTGGTAGAGTGCTCGCCTTGAGCTGAAGAGCTGAGGGACAGCGCCCAAGCCCAGAGTTCAAGCCCCACGACCGACAAAAAAAAAAAAAAGAATTTTACCTTGATACAGAATCATTTTACATTCTTGAGTCAGACGCTAATAGATGCTTTACTTTTGTAAATTATAAAGGGAAATACAAAGGAGGCTACTGAGAAAGTGTTCTTCATTATCCTCTCTTATGGTAAATAAGATTATTTACTGCAAAAGATATTTAAAACCTAAAAAAAAAAGAATTTTACCTAATATTTACTGTAACTAGAAATGCTTATTATTAAGGACTTCTTTTTAAATACATAGAATATAATAAATGCAGGATCACTGTTAGCCTGACTTACACATTCTCAGATAGTTGGATAATTATATGTAAATAATGTTACCTTTCTTACAGATTTTTTTAAAGACATGTCTAAACATTTCTTACAACATGGTTTGAATTCCCATTTTCTCCAGACTCTTACAGATTCTCTATGAATACTTTGAAATTTGGCACTCAGTGTATAGTGGTCCTGGCCACAATGAGTGCTGATTAGTATGTATACACATTTTTTCTGGTGTCCTTTACCAGTAAAATAAAGGTAATGGCACAGAAATAAAAAAGGCCAAGGGCAAATAATTTAGCTATTTTAGTCCTGGTTTCCTGTTTTACCTAACTATATCTTCCTCACAACAAAAAAATGATGATGATAAATCAGTTTAAAAGGGTTAAAATGAAACCTTTGTTTTAAAATACATAGGTCAAAATAAATAAATAAATAAAATACATAGGTCAGAAAATAAGACCAACAAAGCAGGGTGCCAGTGGCTCACACCTGTAATCCTTGCTACTCAGGAGGCTGAGTAGTCAAAAAAGTCTGTGAGACTCTTATCTCCAATTAACTACCAGAAAACCTGAAGTAGAGCTGTGGCTCAAGTTGTAGATTGCTGGTCTTGAGCAAAAGAAGCTCATGGACTACACATAGGCCCTAAGTTCAAGCCCCAGGACTGGCCAAAAAAGCTAAAAAGACCAGCAACAAAAACTCAGAAGTGTACTGGCCTGTAGCCTGCAGCATTTGAGGAATAAAGACCACAACTGGGCTGCTGGGTGATAAAACTCAAAGTATCCTTAGGAGATAAACTCTAGTGAGGCTTACTGCTTGAGGAGCCTGGAAATCAGTCATGATGGTCTTACAGATTATTTTTTCCCCATCCTTAAAGGAAAAGATAATTGCTGTCCTATAAAAGCAAAGAATCCTGAATAAATCATTGTGTAGCACTGTTGCTCGAATCAAGCAAGATTAGCTTAGAAAACAAAATTTGTAATCTATGAGAATGAATTTTTGAAAAAATCTCAATAAAATACTAGCAAATAGAATTCCCTATTATCAAATAGTAGGCTTTATCCTTGGAAAGCAAGGATGATTCCACTGTGAGAAATTACTTCTGTAACATACCAATCTAAATATTAAAAGAGAAAATAACTGATGAGTCTTCAACACAAGCACAAAATAGAAAGAAATGGGCTTTACCTAGAAAAGCCTTTTGAAAATATATTTAATGATCCAGCTATTTCCCTTTGAAGTGAAAAATGTTTATTATCACATCTCAACATTGTCGTATTAGACAAAAAGGTGATTAGAACAAAAGGTAAATGGATCATTTTGCCAATATTTGTGTACATAGAATATACAAGTATGAACAATTACCAGAACTAGTAACAATTCATATTTGCTAGATATGAGAAACACAAATATGTGAGGTTTTCAAACAATTTGAAATTTCACTTTAAAAAACTGACCCATTTCATGGCAGCAAAATATAATAATGAATCTACCTAGACATGGTGGCACATTGAAGCATACCAAATGTATGACAGTTGGAAAGATTGTTACAGTTAGGGATAAATATTAAGCTTAAGTAGTAGTTTGGGATGAAGAAAGGCCAGAAAGCACTGGGATAGGTAGGGTATGCCATCTGTGTTTGTCTTTATTAAAAACGTAAACCTGGCTGGGCACTGGTGGCCCATGCCTGAATCCTAGCTACTCAGGAGGCTGAGATCTAAGGATCGCAGTTCAAAGCCAGCCCGGGCAGAAACGGCCGTGAGACTTTTTTTTTGGGGGGTGGAGGGGGGTCTGGTTGTGGGGCCTGAACTCTGGGCCTGGGCGCTGTCCCTCAGCTCTTCAGCTCAAGGCTAGCGCTCTACCACTTGAGCCACAGCGCCACTTCCGACTTTTTTCTTTTTTGCTTATGTGGTACTGAGGAGTTGAACCCAGGGCCTCATGCATGCAAGGCAGGCGCTCTACCACTGAGCCACCTTCCCAGCCCGAGACACTTATCTCTAATAAACCTCTCACAAAAACAGAAGTGGCGCTGTGACTCAAGTGGTAGAGCACTAGCCTTTAGCTGAAAAAGCTCAAGGACCTCATTCAGGCCCAGAGTTCAAACCCCATGACCAACAAAAAGACAAAAGAAAACCATAAACCTGGTACCAGTGGGTTATACCTGTAACCCTAGCTACTTGGGAAACTGTGATCTGAGGATTCAGGTTTAAAGCCAGACCAGGCAGGAACACACACACACACACACACACACACACACACACACGCACACACACACGCACGCACGCACGCACGCACGCACGCACGCACGCACGCACGCACGCACGCACACAGCAAATGTGGCAAAATGGTAGTTTAGTGGTGATGTATGTATGTTTTTCTGCTGTTGACTATACTTTTCTGTATGTTCACAATATTTTACACACACAGCAAATGTGGCAAAATGGTAGTTGAGTGGTGATGTATGTTTTTCTGCTGTTGACTATACTTTGCTGTATGTTCACAATATTTTACTTTAAAGTTTTTGTTACTTTACCAAACAAAAATTCTATAAAATATATACCATAAATGTTTTTACCAAAAAGATGAAAATATTTCTAAATGTTAAGATATCAGATAAATGTGCAGTATCTGATATTTGTTATTAATTGATACTATATGAAGATAGAGGAATGAAATGATGCTTATCAGTTGAACTTTTGTACTATTAACAGTAATTGAGCTGTTCTTGCCTGCTAGTTTGTCTACAAGACAGTGTGCTAGCTTTCTGGAAACACGGCATGCAAGGTAGAAGTTTTAGATCTAATGAGGTGAGTAATCTTTTGAGTGATATTTATTTATTAGTAGTTTTAAGATGACTGGCACAGTGGCATGTCTCTGTTGTCCCAGCTATTTAGATCCCAGCTACTCAGGAGGTAAAAACAGGAGGATCATTTTGAGCCTAGGAGTTCTAAAGTTAATGAGAACTGCCTGAAGTTTTAACTTAAGAAAATTCCTAAATGGCACCAGTAGCAACTTTATTAATGCCTAGTATTTACAGTAGTACTGAGCCTTCTCCCTCCCTCCCACATTACCACTCACTACTCCTCCAAATAACTTCATATGTCTCATGTGCTTCTACATGATCATTCAGCGACAATTTCTTTCAGCTTTCCCAGACAATGACCTGGATTAAGAATGCTGATGCTGGGTCTCTCTGTCCTCAGGCACCTATCTCCTTGTATTTTAGCAGTGATTACCAATGCTGGCCTTCTATATTTTTTTCCCTATACAATTGACATTGATAATATTCTTTGTCTTTTTTTTTCGGTTGGTCATGGGGCTTGAACTCTGGGCCCTGGGTACTTATCCCTGAGCTCTTCAGCTCAAGGCGAGCGCTCTACCACCTGAGCCACCATACCACTTCACTTCTGGTTTTCTGGTGGCTAGTTGGAGATAAGTGTCTCACGGACACCTTCCTGGGCTGGCTTTGAACTATGATCCTCACGTTTCAGCCTCCTGAGTAGCTAGGATTACAGGTGTGAGCCTGCTGCGAGTGCCCAGCTTCTTTGTCCTTCTTACCAATGTTTAGCTTGATCTTGGGAGTTCTTCCTACCTTATAAAGAAGTAATTTAACTTCAAGCTATGTGGAACATTTAATTCAGGTCATTATTTATACCAGGAAATGCCAGTGTTATGAACACGAACAAGATAAAGATATATTTATCCTTAAATAAAATAATAAATAATCAAAATTTTTCCAGTAACCCCCAAACCAATAACAATAGTATCATTCAGTTATTATTTGATGAAGTTGTATTACTTGATCATTGGAGAGAAAGAACCTCAGATGCATTGAGCAAGAAAATGGCTCATTTGCTTCCTGTCAAGAGTATTTCTTCTGACACAGTAAGTAGTATGGCTTAGTAGTCATGTGTATACATTCTGGAAACATCCATGTTTAAATCTCAGCCCTGCTAGTTAGTAGCTAAGTGGTAATGACATGTAAGTTAACTTTTGTGAGTTGAAAATCCTTAAGCGTTAGTGAAATGTAGTATGTAACATGCTTGCCTGGTCTGTAGTAAGAACTGAAGAAACACCTCTGTTACTATTTATCAGCAGGAGTTCCTATAAATAAGTTTAATGTCTCAAGAAGCAGTTTTCCAAACCACCTGTGGGAAAGGAGCAGGAGATAAAACAGTCCAGAGCTAATAAATACTAGTCACAGATAGAAAGACTTCATAGGCAGGGTAAAGCGAATTGAAAAGGAAGTAGTTTTTCCAAAGAAAACACCTGGAAGGGGTTTTCAAACAACACAGCTAGCCCTTTAATCCACTTCCTCCAGAAATGTCCTGTTCTTCTAGTACACAAACCTTCAGTGTCCTGGAAATTAGCATGATGAACCACTGTGATTGTGCTTCCTTCCCTGGCATGGGGATTACACCAGAACTATCAACAGTGTTTCTAGAGTAACATATTGTAGGGATTTTTATAGAATAAATTCAGCTTTTTTTAGTTAATTTTTTTATTGTAATGATACTGTACATAGAGGTTACAGTTACATGAGTAGGGTAATGAGTACATTTCCTATCAATCATTGTTACCTCCTCCTTTGATTTTCCCCCACCATCACTTCCCTCCCCTCTACCTCCCCAACTCCTCCCTCCCCCCCCCACCCCGCCCCAACATGGTAAAGTTCATTTTCAACATAGTGTCCTATATATCTCATCATCACAATAGGTCAGCCTGCATCCCTATTTAAGCATTCTGCTATTCCCCTTCACCTCCCCAAATTATGAAAATGTATATACAAGATGCAGAACACTGGAATCAAATACAGTGAAAACAGGGGTTAATACCATGGGGGAAGAACTTACAAAAGAAACAGAAGAATCACATAGTGCATTATAAGTACATTAAAAACAGTAGCAAGAAAGAAAAAACACCTTGTGTCCTTGTCTTGGGGTACATTTTGCTCAACATTATCTCATAAAAAAAACATTATCTCATATAGTCATATGTACATAGCCTTTGTCCTCTGTTTGTTGTAGACATGTACTAGACATTGCAAACAAGGGAAACCATGATACCTATGCTTCTTTGGGCCTGGCTTATTTCACTTAATATAATTTTTTCCAAGTTTTTCCATTTCCTAACAAATGGGTCAATATCATTCTTTCTGATGGAGGCATAGAATTCCATTGGATCACATTTCCTCCTTGAGGAAATGGGGTTGGTTCCATATCTTAGCTATGGTGAATAATGCTGCAATAAACATGGTTGTGCCAGTAGCTTTGGCCCAGCAATCCCACTTTTGGGCATTTATCCAAACGATCACAAACAAGGTCATACCAAAACTACCAGCACAGCCATGTTTATCACAGCATTATTCACCAAATTTTTTTAAGCCCACAGTTTGTTGGAAACATTTACTGTCATTTTGACAGTCATCTTGCCAGTGCCTCACACCTATAATCCTAGCTATTCAGGAGGCTGAGGTCTAAGAATTGGGGTTCAAAGCCAGTTGGTCAGGAAAGTCCACAAGACTCTTCACTCCAGTTAACCACTAAAAAGCCAGAAGTGGAGCTGTAGCTCAAGTGGCAGAGCACTAGCCTTGACCAAAATAAAACTAAGGGACAGCACCCAGGCCCTGAGTTCAATCCCTAATATTGGCATACAACACGTGCACACGCACACACACAGATGCAATTTTTTTAGTTCTGTAAGCTGTGAATACTGGATTTCTCTTCATTTTGTACTCTGATTCTTTTTTCACAACTGGCTAACTGGTCACACTGACTTCTTGGAGGATATGTCTCATCAAAAATTTTATTTAAGAATTATGGGGGAAATAAAGTTGATTTTTATACATTGTGCACTTAGGCATTATATCCACTTACACATTATAAGAACACTGCAAGGTAGACCTTTCCTGTCCCATTTTGCAGTTTCCAGTAGACTGCATACCTTTCCAGACGTAACAACTAAGTGGAAGAACTGAGACTAACTCATCATGTTTGGTTTTTATAAATCTCCTGTTATACTACAGAGCAGCCTTTGGGAAAAAGACCCAGATCTTACTGCTACCAGTAGCTTTGCCATCAGCATTAACATAAATGATGAAGGGTTTTTGGATTCACAAAGTGGACTCTGCTTTTCAGTTAAGTTTGTTCTGAGCAAGTAGTTTTTCTTCACCTGTATTTAATGATTTAATGGTATTCCATATTTGCCATATTTTTCCTACACCACCAAATTGACACATTTACAAGCAGACAATAAAGAAATCATGCAGGGCCTCTGTCTTTATCTTGGGAGGATCCTCCCTGTTTCAGATTTACCAACAGCATGAATCAAGAAAAGTCAGCTGAACTTGAGACTCAGGTCCAGGTAAGGGGCAAGGGTACAGCAAGCAAAAAGAAGAAAGTGGTACATAGAACAGCTGCAGCTGATGACAAAAAGCTTCAGCGGGGTCTGGGAAGGTGGCTCTGTGGTAGAGCCCTTGCCTCGCACGCATGAGGCCCTGGGTTTGATTCCTCCGCACCACATAAGCAGGAAAAAGCCAGAATTGGTGCTGTGGCTCAAGTGGTAGGGCTCTAGCTTTGAGCTGAAGAGCTGAGGGACAGTGCCCAGGCCCAGAGTTCAGGCCCCACACTGGGGGGGGGGGACTAGACGGGAGGGGGGGACACTAGCTGTGAATAATATAGCTGGCATTGAAGAGATGAGCATGGCTAAAGATGACCGGACAGTTACTCATTTCAACAACCCCAAAGTCGAAGCTTCCCTCTTGCAGTTACTGGTCACTTAGAAGCCAAACCAATCACAGAAATGCTTCCTGGAAGGTTAAGTCAGCTTGGGGCTGACAGCTTAACAAGTGGTAGAAAGTTAGAACAGTTCCCACGGCAAGTGGTGAATAACAAAACACCAAAACCAGAAGACATTCAATGCAGCGGAGGAGGCTGTTCCAGATCTTGTAGAAAATTTTGATGATACATCAAAGAAATAAAGCAAACTAAAATCTCTGGGTTTTGGAAGCTGGCATGGACTAGATTTAATAAATCAGCTATGTGGTTCCAAAGTTTCACAGATATGGAGAACATCACTAGTACACAAATATTTTGTGTATTAACAATGCTGCTTATTCAGCAGTTTTTTGGTCATTTGATTTTGCATTTTGCACTTCCAGGATCTATACTTTTGGACAAAATATGAAGTAGTGGTGTAGTTTGTGGGTATTTGGGTTTTAGATTCTTCTTGGGGGGGGGCTATCTTTGATGTACACATGTGGTATGTGCATCAACAATGGAGAGCAAATTGGAAAAGAGTTCTGTTTATACTCTCCTTCCCTAGTAGAAATAAATCTTTGTATTTAAAAAAAAAATCATGCAGGCATATTTTTCCATCCTAGGGATTGTTTCTTTTTCTTGTGCCAGTATTGGGGGCTTGAACTTGGGGCCTTGAGCTCTTGTACTGAAGGCTAGCACTCTGCCACTGGAGCTACAATTCCACTTCTGGCTTCTTGTTGCTTAATTGGATTTAAAAGTCTCAGACATTTGTTGCCCAGGCTGGCTTTGAACCGTGATCCTCAGAACTTAGCCTCCTGAATAGCTAGGATTACAGGCATGAACTTCCAACACCTAGCTAGAATTATGTTTCTTTTCTGTATAGTTATAGTAAACTGTCCATTTAAGATTTTCTATCTTATATGATTTTTATCCATCTTTAAAGATGTTTTTATTTTTAATTTCAGAAAATCAATTTATGTTTTAATTGAACAGGTAACACAAGAAATTTCAGATAGCACAAGAATTTTCAGGCTCCTTGGATCTGACAGGTATAACAATGGGTTGTATTAAATATGTGGGACTAAATGTGTTTTCTAAATCCTGCATGAAACAATTTTCTTATTCAAGAGAATTGAAATTTCTGTAATAATACGTTCACCATGGGGAGGGGGGTAGTTATTTTTTGAAAGCTTGATCTTTCAGGTAAAGAATCCATAGATAAGTCAGTACTATTTTGTATTAAGCATACTATCTATAAAGTATTATAAAGTATTTTACTATCTATCAAGTGTTTTGCATTACACATACTATCTGTAAAGTCTAAAGCAGAAGAAAAAATATCATATGCTAGCAAACAGAACTTACTGATTTTGTAGTTTTATTCTGATTCTTTACTTTAATTCTTAAACTGCAAAATACTTTAGTATTTATGACACAAATTTAGTTCCCCCAATCTATACAGGTTTCTACCATCCTTACCTCTCATCCCTAACTCTACAAGAACACTGGCTTGGAGGTAGCAAGGAGGTGGGCAGCAAAATTACTTCCCAGTGCTGGAGCTGGCCTTTAATCATAATTACAGTAGATGATCTCTTCAATAACCAGCATATACAGAAGTATCAACATTTTTCCAGAATAATCTTTGTTTTTTGTTGTTGTTTGTTATTACCTTTAGGGTCGTGGTTTTGGAGAGTAGACCAACTGATAACCCAACAGCAAATAGCAATCTGTACATCCTGGCAGGTCATGAAAACAGTTACTGAGGAAGAACAAATTCTGCTGTAACCGGAGTGGACACTTGAAGCTGTACAAAAGCTGCAGTAACCTGCCTTCAGTTCCTTGTAATTTATTGTGGCATGAGACAAGATGGGGAAAATATTTGTTTTAAGTGGTATGGATATATTTAGCATATTGAAAACCACACAAGTGCTTAATTCATTGTTATGTAATCTTTGTACATATAGGCGGTATTTTTCTGTGAAACTTCATATTGCTGAAGACATATACTAAAAACTTATGTAGATAATGTACTTTTATGAGATGTACAAGTAAGTGTCCTATCTGTACAGATGTAAATGTTGATGAAAATGCAATTGGGGTTAATATTTTAAGAATTCTTTAGTATATTCTTGGGTGTGGTTATTACAAAATGGGATGCTGGCAATGAAGCAGTACACTTAACACTATGGTATTTTTATTATATGTAATTTAGTAATATGAATATAAATCTTGTAACTTTTAAAATTGTAATGGAGGCTGTAATCATTTTATAATCTTGTTTTTAATTTTAATGCAAGTACACTGGTGTTTATATTTGCACAGAGTATTGATATGTGATGTATTAAGTCACAAAAGTAAGCTGTGACATTGTCAATATGCATTTGGCTTCATATCTTTTTTACATGTTTACTATGTGAAACAAACCAATTAACCACCAGTTGTAGTAACTGATCTTTTATATTTAAGCAGAGTCTTATGAGATTGCTTGTCTGTGCTTCAAATATACCCTTAAAAGAATTTTAAATCACAGAATAGCGGTACCATGATGTAACACTGCAATTGTTGTGTCTGAATTATAGTATACACAAAATAAATTAGCATTATTAAAGAGTCCACACTAAACATTTCATATAATCACACTGAAGAACTGTAACATTCCAGAGTGAAGTGGCTCAGATTTCTAGTGGAATTTCTATTTTTGTTGGCCTTTACGATCATTTTCATATTTCGTTTTAGAGTATTAACACATGGCCAAAATAATTTAGTTACTACCTCATATAAACAATATATTGGTCACTACACATCACAGAAACTTAGTTTGAGTTAAAGCCATTTTTGAGTGCTTTCTTTTCCAATGAGATAATGTGTATACAAAGTTTTAGCACACTTTTGGCTCTTTTGGTATATGTTCTTTATATTTCAATGCGAGTATATACACTAAGAACAAGCTAAATTGTGGTTTTTGGTCTTCATTTATTTTAATAGATAATGGTTTAAAATATGTTCTCAACTGTATATAGTGTAAAATAAACATGTTTTTTAACATGCTGTTGTACAGTAGATTGTCATCTGGCTTAATGTGTATGTAATAACTAAATTATATTAAGGGAGAAAAGTTGTTTTACACTTAAATCCCTAAGTATGGAATTATGGTCCCTCACATCTTGATTGAAGCAGAAATATTTCCACATCTGAGAAAAGGGAAATTTTTGTAGAATCTTCAACTTCTGATCAGGAAACACACTTAAACATTCAGAGTGTTCTGGTGGGAACCAGGATCAGCCTGTTTCGGTAAATAAAGTCTTGTTGGAACACAGCGCCACCTATTTGTTTACCTATTGTCTATTATTGTTTGTGCTACATTGTTTAGTGTTGAGTGGTTTCAAGTAACTGGATAGCCTGCAAATCCTAAAATGTTTATTAGCTGACTCTTTACAGATAAAAATTGGCCATCACCTGAATTAGAAACAGGAAAGAAGAGTGTTTGGAAGTGCAGTTGTGGAGGTAAGGAACAACTAAGTGTCTTTAGAAGAAACGGATTGAGCAGTCAAGGAGTATCATTTCTACTACAGCCTATGCCACAACCTGCCACTGACAAGTCAAGTGAATTCCCATGTCTAAAATTGTATAGGTGATAGTAACCATAGCAACTGGGTATATTCTTGCTTTTCAAGACACTAAGAATAATTTTAGCATTTACAACTAATAACTATTTAAAACATCACTGATAGTACAACATGATCAATATGCTGGGAAAAAGAAAAATAGACTCGTGGGTAGATTTTCAAAAACCTCAGGTTCTGTCAGCATTTACTGACAAGGGTGTTGATCCTTCTTCTGGACCACTGTTTTTTTCAGGTCTAAGCCATACAGGTTACATAAAGGATCATTGTATCTCAAAAAAAATGTTAATTTTCACAGTTCTGGTTCCTCACATTAGGAAATTAGAAATATTTTCACTTTATAAAATAATTCTGAAGTGCACCACAGTATGAAAACCATTGGTGGAGTTTAAATCAACATTTTTGGCTGTGGTCCAAGGAACACTGGTCTTTAGGAGATAATCATCTTTAATGACAACTTACTGTGCAAATAGAATTCATCCAAGATCTTTTTTTTTTAATGTTGTGCCTATATGCTCACTTAACTGTTGAAACCACTTTAGTTCATCTCATTCAAATTCAAGCTACCCTGTCCTTTAGCTAATTTCAAAGATCAGTTTACTGGTGTCTGCTTCATTCTGTTTGCAAGTGTGTATATCTGATTTCAGTGAAGCTGACAAAATAATGGGTATATGTTATTCAGTTTTCATCATTAATAGCACAGGTATCAAAGGTATAAAATGAGTAAACTCTCTAGGTATTGTTAATTTCATTTGACATATAAATGGAGGCATCAAAATTGCCGAGGAGGGGCTGGGAAGGTGGCTCAGTGGTAGAGCGCTTGCCTTGCATGCATGAGGCCCTGGGTTTGATTCCTCAGCACCACATAAGCAAAAAGAAAAAA